GGAATGTTCACTAGTAAGGACATCTCCCTCTTGGCCTGAGAGATTGAAAGAAACTCTTAGAAGCTGCAGCTCTATGCTTATTAATAACAGAACCACACCTTTTTTGATCACACAGTGGTGCAGGTCTCATGGGTATCTGTTAAAGACATGCAATGATGTGTCCCCCAAATTAGCAAAAATACAGTTAGCCTAAGCAGCCAGCATTTTTCAGTGACTGGGCATACACCAGCAAAGGGAGTTTATATAACCCAGTATAAACACCTATTTATAGCATTTGTATCCTGTATCTGTGATGCTTTTGACCCAGTACTGTTGGATTGGCAGAAGCTCTAAAGCTAAACTTACAAGTCTGAATCCCAGCTGCTCATTCATGAGTGGACCATATAGGCATAGAGGTGAACTGCCTTAACCCCACTGTGCAGGAGAATTCTCTAGGCCACAGCGACTTAGAAATAGTCTGTAAACATTTTTCAGTGGTACTTGAAGTATTCTCGATCTGTAAATTCAAATTACAGTCAAAGAGAATTTTTCAGTATTACCAATAGATAATGTATGTAAGACAGACCATTTATCTTCTCCATGACTGGGAAAACAGTGAATTTTCATTGTTAATATTAAGGCTCTAGTTTTTTCATGGACTGCATATCTTGGTAGGAGGATCCCTCTACTATAATTTCTTCCATTCCAGTAACATTTTTAGGTTCACTTAAATCTGAATGTAGAGTCTGGTAGATCACTAACAAATGGTAGTCACTGCGGCTTATATGAAGTATTGCATATGTTTGCAGCCGCACCCAGGCACTCACCTTAAAAGCACAAAGGGACAATACCACTTGTTAGCTTGCACAATGCATGAGATAACGTGATGCAATGCTCATATGTCATTGCTCTTGTATGTGCTGCTCATGTCAGGTGCTTCTCCTGAGCAGCACGTAAATGCATGGCACCCATCACTCTGCACAGTCTTGTTCACCCTCACCTCTGCTGGGACACAAAAGGTTTGGTAGAAGTAATCCATTTGATCACTCCCTTTCTACTCTTATGTCAAGTCAAGGCAAACCTGTTTTTCGCTCACTAATTCTCATGTAAGGCTCCCAGTGACTTAATCTATCTAGGACTTTCAGGGTGTAAACCATTTTGTTATTTATAGAATTACTTATTTTTACACAGATGTTGGTAGGGTTTAAATCAGACAGGAAAAGTGCTAACATGAGTGAAGACAAGAAATTAAAGACAACAAGGAGTTGAAATTTTTTTATATTTAGGAAAGGATAATTTTCATGTCTTTTTTTTTTTTCTCTAGAAAAATGGGGTTTTCTGAATTATCAGAGAGCTGATTGTTTATCAAGAAGACATTTAACATATTTCCTTGGGAGAGCAAAATATACTATGTAAATTTTAGTTGGTTTTGCAATTTTTTTAACATAATTTTTTTTCTGAAGAATAACAGCATATTTATGTCTAGAATTATTTTGAGCAATATGCAATATTACTGTATGATATGTTGGTGTATTTTCAAGATGGGAATCTATTTATTGAGCATGGGAAGCAAAATGTTCCTTTATAAGTAAAAAATGTGGCAATACTTTAAGTCCTTGGAAACAGGCTGTAAATATTGATGTCCTAGTATAAGGCAGGGACATGTTCGTTCTGAAGGAAGACTAAATAAGTGTGTCTTTTCATTTAATCATAATTCACATAGATGTTAAAAATCCTTACCACTAAATTTAGACTAGAATGTATTTGAAAATAACTTCTGTTGAGTACTCTGAAGTTATACCCAGAAAGTATACAATTATAACATCCTCTTATCACACTAATACCGTAAACTGAGAAAACTGCTTTCATTTGGAGATGAAATGTGGAATATTACAGAAATTTCTCAAATGGTCAAAATAGATGTCACGAGAACAGTTTAATTTCAGTCATTTGTAGGGATTGTTCTTGACCTTCCCTGTTGAAGCAAGGAGGAAACAAAGAAAAGGACAATGAGAGCTTGGGAAGGCATCTGGCACTTAAGAGGAGTCAAGGGTATTCAGAAATAGTTGTGATTTTTTTCAGGACTGTGAAAAATAGTGCTTGGAAGAAAGGAAGTTTCTTTCCCTCCCTTCCCACTCATTTTTACTGTTCCATAGAGTCAGTTTGGAGTACTTAACAAAAGACATAGATGGTTACAAACTCAGCTCTTCATATCTGTAAGAGCACTTGTTATGTATATTGTTCTGTGAAATCATTTTGGAGCGGCTACTGTTGCAACACTCATTGTGTCCAGCACATATAAGGCATCTGAGCAAAGAGTTTGCCAATTCTCCTGCCCAGGCCGAGACTCAGGAGTGTTTCTATTGCCTGTGGGAAACATCAAAGCAGTTTGACAAGGATACCAGACCCTGATGAAAATAACATCACCTATTTTATCATGTTATTTATATATGTATGTTGGCTTCAGCTGAAGGGTTTTTAGGCTTTCTAACATTTCCAGTTGCAACATAAACTGCCAGATTAAAAATAATCTTTGGCTCAGTTGCTGCAGAGAGCAAGCAGAAAGCTGTTGAGGCTCATGAAAGTGGTTGGAGGTCCTGATGTCAGTGAGGAAGAAGGAAGTGGGCTGTTTACTCTGATTTATTTTAAACAGCTTTCAGTAGAAACAAGGGAGTACTGGAAACTCTGCCAAGGTTTGCAGTCCTTTATTCAAGAAGACAGTCTTTTTCTTACGTGAGTAGCTGACTTCCCTTGTGTCCATCATGTACCCTTTAAAATTTTCACCCACTGCCCAGTAGGTATCCCCTTCCTTTCAGTGTTCTGGGCTCTGGCCTCTCTGCCATGCTCCCTGGCTTCTTCTTAAAATGAATTGGCCCACTGTCGGTGGGACAAATCTAAAGTGATTATTTTAAAGAAAGACCAGCTAACTCCATATGGGCTACATACAATCAGAGCTCAAAAAAAAAGAGGCTTATATTCCCACGGGAATTTGCATTGAAGGCATTCCAAACACCAGGGAATTCCATGGGCACACAGTGTAGTGTTGTTCTGCACAGGAGTTTCAGTACATAGCAAACTTTGTAATCATGGTTTCACTAGAGTCAGGAGTTTACCACTTGTTCAACTAGTATTTAAATTATGATCTCAAAATTGTCCTTTCAAGTGTGTAGACCTGAAAAAGACTTTATTTTTTAAACTGGCATTTTAGAGTACAGGTAAATTAATACTGAATCAGTTTCCTATGTTTGATTCAGTGGGAATACTTTCCTTTGAAATGAACTGCAAGCATAATGTTGTGTAAGAGGGACGCACGTTTACAACTCTCACATTGTAAACTAATGGTCTGAGTCTTTACCAGCTTATTCACTGTAGTATTTTATTAGTGCTACAGCCAACAAAAGCATATTGCTTGTGTTATCTATGCTTCTTTATAACCATATTACCAAGATTACAGCAATTCATTGCCTGACATTTATCTATCTCACTGTCAAATCAAATATTCATGGAGTGCTCGGTGCTGCTCAAAGTAGCCTGGAGAAACAGTTCTGATCCCTCTGGTTACCTCTGAGTGTCTTCTGGCTGGTTGTGAGGGAGGTCTTGCATTACGCATTTGCAAGATCCCATCTCTTTGGTTATGTGTTTCTGGTGTGAGCACTTGTCATTCCTTCACTGTGTAATTTATTTGATGGTGTTACTGGTATGCTATTGCATTTGTGGTGAGCAGCATAATTTTGTACTGCTATTTATAACATTGGTATGAATGGTAAGTTTGGTGGTATAGTAAGAGAAGAAAGATTATGATCTCCTTCCCAATGGATACCAGCATATAGGAATAATGGAACAATATAAATAAAATGCTACTCATTAATTAAAAGTAATTAACTGAAAGGGAATACAGTTAGTTAAATGCACTGAATCTTAAAAACAGCTAATTTTCTTAAAATTCTGTGAGCGTTTTGAATTTAAATACATTTAACTGAATGAACATTAAGGAATTGAAGAAGGCTCTTATAAACAGTCTTTGGTGAAAGGGTTTCCATTAACCAAAGACTCATAGATTCACAGAACTCTCTGGTTAAATAGGAATGTCTCTCATATTGCTAAGGTCCTTGAAAATGTCCAGAGGAGGTCAACAAAGGGCTGAAAGTAATGTCCTTTTAGAAGCACCAAATAATTTTCTGCTTGTCGTGTTTTGAGAAAAAGAGGCTGAGTGGTGACCTCATTGACCTCCACAACTTCCTGAGCAGGGGAAGTGAAGAGGGAGGTGTTGGTGTCTTCTCCCTGGTGTCCAGTATAGGACGTGTGGGAATGGTTCAAAGCTGTTCTGGGAGAGGTTCAGAGTGGGTATTAGGAAGCATTTCTTTACTGAGAGGTTCATCATGCACTGTAACAGGTTTCCTAGGGAGGTGGTCAAAGCCTCAGGCCTGTCAGTGTTTTAGAGGCATTTGGACAGGCATTAATTAGACAAATAATTGTAGATCCCATCCAACTGAAAATATTTTATTCTATTTTATGTCATTCAGCTTTTGGACAGTATCCAGCAGAGACCTTGTGAAAATCTTATGAAGAGTAAAAAACATTTTAGTTTTGAGTGCAGGTCAGTTGCAATAACTTCAGATTCTTCCCACAAGGTGCGTGAGAAGAAACAGCCACATTAACTCTTTGCTCTGAGAAAATGCTTGGAAGTACAACAGTCATTAGAATTTTCCAAGTCTTTTCCAACTGTGAAAAAGGAGTAGAAGAGTGAAAAAGCAGCAGCAGAATACTCTGTGGTAACAAATTAATAAGACTAATATAGAATATTTTACAGGAATTGTTATGAAATATTAGTAAGGGTTTTTTATATAGAATAATTCCTTTGATTTTAGTCGACATACTGGTTTGGACTACCAGCCTTCAGAAGCCCTGCCTGTGCCAGATGCCTCGATAAAGGTCAGAGGGGCGTGACTCACCTGTGAGGAGGGTGTTGTCACCGCCAGCTCTGGGCAGGACAGTCCCACCTGTGGTGTCCCAATTTCCAGGGCAGATGCACACCGGCCCTGATTGGCCACGCTGGCTCCTGCCTCGGCACGGATTGGCCGAGCCTTCTGCCTCCTCTGTCTCATCTTCCTGGGGCACCGCACGGCCCGGCTGCAGCTCCTCCACACTGACCACAGAGGCACCGGAGGATGCCCACGCATCAGCGCCTGGTCGATAAGGTGTGTTGGTGGGGATGTGGTGGACAGGGTGCACGCTCACTGGTGATACTTATTCTCAAGGGCTAAAGAATAAGTCTGTGGCTCATCAGGAGCATCTAGGAGAAGGCGGAAAATACTCATAAAGAATGGGAATAGAAAGGGGTATACTGGAGCTAGTCTTAAACTGTTGGCAGGATGGATTTGCAAGGACTGTGTTTTTCAAATTATGGAAAGGTATTCATCATATTCATTAAATGCTCTATATTTAAAAGCTTTTAAAACAACTGTTGCCTCTATTCAGAAGTTTGCCCAAGGCTTTGAAGGAGCAAACCACCAAAGTGCCTCTTCCTGAGTCCAGTAGATTGAATGCAGTAGCTAACTAGCAGGGGTTTAATGGTTGGCCTGAAGACATGTTAGACTAAATATGGAATAGGATTCTTAAGATAGAAGCTCAGGTGTTGGAAAGGTGAGGGCCACATAAACTCATAGGCAGAAAGGTTTAATCTGTGATAAAATAATAATTATAATTTCCCATCAGATGAAGGAACTGAGGATATAGTTAATTTTTCATCATTATATCTAATTAGAAGTCTGCAAATGGCATTTATTTGCCAGGATTCTCTATGTTTCTATTTTATAAATATTTAATTTTTGTTTCTTTATATTTTTCGTGGAGAAAATGTAAAATATGTGATGCAAGGTAACAAAATTGCATGGATTATGTATTGGAACTCAGAGCCCATGGAAGTTTTCTACCTGAAGTCTGGACTTGGAATTTTTTAAGATGCTAATATCTCTCTTTCTCGTCTAAAAGCTAGTTCCAAAAGATGACGTGATGAGTATCATAGAATCCCTCTTGAACTATTAAATCAGAGACCTGATGCAAAGAGAAGTCTTCTCAGCCATGTTTCAACTCGTTGTATTTGTATTTCTGGCTCTTTTCTAGCAAGAAAAAGAGGAAAGATTTCAGACTGGCTTTCTTTCATGGCAGAGTGCAGTTCCAGACAATTTTCCAATCCTAGCTAAACTAGGACTTTGTGCTTTGAAATGGAACACCCAATTAGAAACAAACTTTTTTTTCCATCTCTCCATGAGTCAGACAGAGATTTCAACAACACACAGACTAGTTCATATTAAATCACTGTTTACCACATCTGTTGATATAATAGCACCCACATGCTGTATTTAAACTTAATTAGAGGTGGGCCACGTCAAAATCGTCACAAGAGATTGGATAACCGCGCCCAGCGTGCTGATACCAAAACATGATGCTCACCAGGATCCCTTAGAGTGACACTTTGATGAGGCTTTGGAGAGGTGCAGTCTTCATCTGCTTTAAAGACATGATAACTTGCATCTATCACTTTCCTGGTTGTGCTCTGAGTAGTTGTGACACCATGCAAACCTCCATCATCCTACTTGGAAATCTTTCAACATTTCACAGTCACCTGTTTTATTATTTGTTGACTCAGTAGCGTTTTAAAAAGTTGTTGAAGTTCAGAGTTAAGCACATGAATGTTCAGAACTGTGTATTTTTCCCCTGCTCCTAGATGCCTCTGTTATTTATTTCATTAGCACATACAAAACCAAATGATCTTACACAGTTATGCATGAATTAAGATACACGGGTAGATGGTACAAACTGAACATATTTCTTACATTGTGTTTGAAATGCTTAAAAAAATCTCAAGTAAATACCTCCATTCTTTCTGTTACTGTCTGTTGTGTCACACGAGGCAATCCTGTAGCAGACAGCATGTAAAATAGCATTATTAAATACTTCTGGAGATTGAACAGTTGTATCAGCAATTTTGTAACTGGAAGAGTGAGTTGTTCATAAGATGTAATTGCCTTTTAAGTATGTAGTGCTATAGTTGAATATTTAGATTTTGAACATGGGCTGAAAGGTCTAATATTAAACACCTGAGAATACTTTTGGGAAATCTTTTCTTTCTTTCTTGGAAACAGTTTACCATCATTGCACGTGAACTATAAAGAAAATACATTTTTCTTCATCAACAGTCCTGGAAAATTGGACTTCAGTCTTGTCTCTTAGTTATTTTTTTGTGAATTTCTGTACGGGTTATAGTTTATTTACTGGTTATAGTTATTCTTACTAATAGGAAGCATGCAGTAGTAATGTAGTATTTTTAAACTGTTTAGACGTTCCAGAGGACTTTGCAGAAATCTCTTGTTAAGTTCTTCAGGAAACAAATACTTTGAAAATCTAAGAGTACTCCAGGGCATTTAATTAGATTTCTTGACCATCCCTTGGAAGTGAGAGTAGGGAAAGCAGTCAAAGAAGAGCATGCTAATCATGGTTATATCTACAGTTTGAGAGCAAGGATTCCCTCTGAGTTCTCGCATAGCCAAGGAGATGAGCTAAATCTGCCAGTGCAACAGTGAGGATCTTTGTTTTAAGGACTCTTCTAGTTCAAAGGTGCAATGTAGCACACATGGCTGTTAATAGATTGCTGACATGTAACCTGAAAATTTAAACTTCAATTAATAATTCAGTATTTTTAAATTATAATATTTGTGTCACTCATTGTACTTTTCTGCCAGTGTATATAAGTATTTTAATTGTTTTCTTCAAAACACATGAATGCAAAGAAAGAGCAGCTTTCTAGGCTTGCTTTGTTTCCTGTCTTGGAGAAAAGCTGATATTTGCCAAACAAGGCAACTATTTAAAAGAAGTTCCTGTGACCTGTATTGTCTTTTTGTTCCACAGATGAGGAGACACTCCTGCTTTGTTTTTTTGTTCTGTGGGATATTTTTGCCTGGAATCCTTGGTTTTCCACAGACAAACACCTCAATTGATTGTGATTCTCTGTTACCAAACTATGAAGCTGAACCACAGACATCTGCACCACCATATATTATTGCTGTATCTTTTGATAACTTTGAGCCAGGAAATGAAGTCCAAGGTAAACAATTGGAATGACATAAAATCTTGGTCTGTGTCTTCCAGAATTACCAATCTTCATAAAAATCTCCCCATTTCTCTCTCAGTCTAGATAATTTATTTTTTAACTTCAATCTTGTTTACATATACCTGAGATGTTATTATTTTTTATGTTTAATATCTATATGGACATACTTGTATAACTGAGAATGCATTCTTTCTTTCTTTCTTTCTTTCTTCTTTATCTAATAAATATATCTTAACTTTATGCTGTAATTTTTTTGTGACAAAATTAAAATTGAGTAGGACAGCTAGCCAAACTGGACTAATAATTAGTTGCTCGTTAACTTTGTATTTGAGTGTTTGCTGTTGAATCAGGCCTCTGCAATACAAAGGGATCCTACTCATTAGTCCTTCACATGCTGTCATCCTACAGGAAAATAAAAATTCAGGACGCAGTATGAGACTACTTAAGGGTGATACATTTTGAGTCACCCTTCTAAGAGCTGCATCCTAGATTTTATCACATTGCATGAGGTGGAGCTATTGTGGCTTAAACCCCTTTTTTATCTTCCTAATCCTAAATTGTTCTCTGGATGGAGAATCTTCACAGCAGGGCCACTGCTCATTTGGTAGAGCAGAATTCCTTTTGGAACTGTCAGTAAATCATTAATCCCATGTTACTTTATAGAGAAGTGCTTTTCCAAATTTTTTCCATTACCTTTATTGCCATTCCCCTTATAGTTAAGAAAGGTATTTTAAATGGTTTTTTTAAGAATTGTACAGGGCTCAAAGTAATTTCTGCACTGTGCAGAATTATGCACAATGCAATCTTGTGCCTTGGACTGAAGCAAATTGCATGGTAAACACTTAGGCAGTTTTAGTGGTATATGAAATTTACATTCCTCAAAATGCCTCTTTTCACAGTAACTCTCGAAGCACTTGGAGATGCTGGATTTAAAGGATTTAATCTACAAGCTCGAGAAATAGATGGAGATGTTCCTGTTGGTACTTTTAAAATTACAGATCCAAACACTAAAGGCTTGGAATGTCATAACACGACGGTATGTGTGTAGTATATGGAATACTTACTGGAGCTTGGGTTTCTTTAAAATTATAGAAGTAGGGATCGTTTTTATACAGCAAAGCTATTTCTTCAGTAGAGTTTAAAAGGTTAGATTTTCTCAGGAACTTCAGCCGTCCTTTATATGTGGTATGAACCTAATGTAAAAATTCCCTGGCTCTTTGTAGCAGGGCATCAGTGTTAACTGTTGTAATAGAGACAGTTTTTGTAATAATATAGCTAAAAATCACTCTTACATCTTAAATAATTATATGTATTTCTTTTTAATTGCAGAATTCAGCAGTAAGTAATGCAAATTCAGATGTGAAACAGAAGGTTACAACAACATGGATTGCTCCACATGATGTTAGAGACGTTCAGTTTATGTAAGTAGTTGTTTGTTGGGGTTTTTTTGCCTTGAAATTTTCTTTGTCTGTTGAGATAGACCTTTGTTGCTGTTTGAGATATTCTTGTCCAACATAGTTTTTTTCATAGTTTGCCATAACTTCACACTGTGTTCATTAAATTATTTCCATTTCAAGATATAGTTGTAAAAGTTAATGTCGTAAGGATCTTAATATATGTAAATAATTCCATTAAGCATAATGTTATTAATGGATCTTTGAGTAGCCATTTTTTACACTTTGAATTCTTTAATTACAACAGCAACAAAATATGCATGTAACTCCTTCCCTGAAAAAATTAAATTCAGACCTATTCAGTTGTACCTTTCTTCATTTTGAACAGTGGCAAAATAGTAATTTGATGTAAATTCTTCTAATATAAATTTTAGAGTAAGTGTATGACCTATGAACTAATTTCTGAAAACAGCAGAGGACGTATTTAGACTACTTTTGATGCTACATTTCTTGCAGATGTGAAACTTGTAAAAACACCACCTACCCTAAAAAATGCATGCTTGAAGTATATTGGAAAATACCTAAATATTTGATAGCTTGTATTGTTTGAAGTGCAGATTTATGTTAGGACCATCTTTGCCTTGCTTCATTAAATCTTTGCCTTGCTTCTTTAAATCTTTGCCTTGCTTCATTAAATCTTGAGGAACACCAAGAACAGGCAAAAGAATACAAAACCACAATTGCTTCCACTCGTTATTGCCATGAGAATCAGTTCTCCATCATAGATGCAGATTGTCAGAGCATGTGGGACAATTCTCATGGACATTTGAGCCAATGCTCCCCACTGGCATCAGTGCTTCTTCAAGCAGTGTCTATCCCTCTTCTGCTATCCCACTTCAAGCAATGTCAATCCCTCAGCATCTGTTTGAGTTATCTTCAAAGTTATGCTGGATGATAATACAAGCCACTACAAGGAAAAGTATTCTGTGAAACTTGCACTGCATACACTTAAAACCAGAACACAGTGGATATTCTTGGCTGGGGGCAAAGGGGGACAAGAGTTTATTTATATTTTATATTGAAATACTTTGATAGAAAATAAATTATTTTGTTTTCTCTCTAGTGCAACTGTTGTTCAAAATCTAGAGAACTTTTGGGTTGGAATTCAAAGCAAAACTCTCACACCTATGAATTCTGCATCAGTTAATGTGACAGGAAAAAGTAAAAGGAAGGTATGTTTTAGTGTATCACAATGATAGAAATTAATACAGTAATTAAAGTATCTTTGGCTTGATACAAGATATACACTTGTCATTTATTCATTAACTAAGGAAAATCATTAGATGTTTTCAATCATTTTAATTTAACTGCCTAATCCTCTTATAAAAATGATGAAAAAATAAAGTTAGTACTCTTTTTCTCCTACAGAAACGAGGAAAGTAATAATCTATTTATCAAAACAATCCATATCTTAAAGCAAAAAAAAAGAAAATAAAATTGGTTATAGAACTGTACTGTATTTCTGATGTATAGTGCTATTCTTAACTGCTGCCTCAGCCCCTGGGAACTGTAACAGTACCATATTCTTGAAAGGAGTTGGTACCATTTTTTTTACAAGAATTATGCTTTTATGAAACATATTAAACGTTGGCAGCTCAAGTAAAGAAAGCCTCCTCAAATCTACTGTGTTGGACTGCAGCAGTAGTGATTTATGTGAACTAGTGATATAACCAAGAGTGAACACCTGTCTTAAATCTCTCACTTCACCAAGTGTATTTTCTGTTTCCTATAATAAGCTGGGGTGTTTTTTTTTTTTGAGTGAATAATTTTGTAATGCTTCCTCTTTTGTTTTTTCCCCACAGCTTATGATAGAATTAGAATGTAACAAGGTAAGAACAATTTTTCTTCAATTTCCCAACTTCCAGTCACCTCAGTTTTAGAGTTCTTCTCCTACTGGTCCAGTTGTTTCATGCTTGTATCATTAAGCTTCTATTGTACCTTTCAAATTAATTTCCTAGCAAGACATCATTTATGCTTTTGTACCTTTCAAATTAATTTCCTAGCAAGATATCATTTATACTTTCATTTTTTATTCGGTTTTGAATGTATTTTTATTTTGTATTAGTTAACATCAGTTTGCAGATTAGATTGTTAAAATGTGTAATATATTGTCAGCAATTAAACTCTTGATTTCTTCACTCAGACCATCAATGTGAATTCAGTTGATTTCCTATTTAAAGTCATTTTATATTTTTACTCCAGTCACTAAATAGTAATTGGAACCTGTATTCTCTTGCAGCGTGGAGGGACTTACTCAACAGGCCGATGCATCATGGTAAATATTCCTTCTCCAAAGACCTTGACATCCTGCTAACTGCCCAAGGTCTCAAGGTCTAGTCAAAACTTGCTTTTAGACATGTCTTTATCCCCCTTGTAACTCAATTTAATTTTCTTTTTGTTAGTTTGTCTCTGTTGATTAAAAATCCAAAGCTGTCTAAAGGATTGTCAGCCTCATTACCATTTCCTTCTGCAGAGTCTCTCTGCTAATCTGTAGTAGCTCTATAATAGAAGTTTTCTATTTTGTCTTTTCACTCCTTATTTCTATTGTTTTCTTGCCATTCAAGATCACTTATTTACTTGCCTTCTGCAAATCATGGTCTAGATATAAAATATAACTATTTGATGTTTTTCCTTTGAAAACTTTAATTGGCAGCTCAGTGAAGAAGCTTATTTTCCTTCTTGGCTTTTTTACAGTAAATATGCTAATGATTACATAATCATATTAGTAAAAAGCTTTCATCTGCTTTTTAATGATTGTGGTGGTGTAGATCTCCTCCTCAATGATGGACATCAAGTGTGTGATGTCAGATATAAAAGGATGCAAGCAGCAGAATTATATTATTTATAACAGCTGGATTGGCACAGTTTCGATTATTTGTTTTGAAAGATCTCTGAAATAATTTTAATAGTATTGGTGGAATTAAGTAGTAGAAAACTACTTTGTGGGTTCTTCCTTTTCCCACCAAGCAGAACTTTCTTTCCTGAAAATCACTTAAAATAATTTTTCAGCAAGATAATAAATACCAGTCCGGTTTCTTTTCAGGTTGGACCTTCCAGTTCCTCTCAGAGCAGTTATTCAGGCAGTCAGGTATGAGTCCTAAATTCCAGCATTTGTATGTTTTTCTTCAGTAACCTTGGATGACTAAAATTCTGTAATGTGAGGTGATTTAATACTGCACTGAAATATCTTCTCTGCTAGTTAACCCAGAACAGCAGAGGTGTTTATCCAGTGTGTTTGTACCGGGGCTAAGTTCAGCTACCTCCATTCTCTTGAACTCAATAGCTTGCTCCAGTTTAATGTCTGTATTGCTTTTAACACCAGACTATCTTTGCAGTTGAAAATTTGGGGCTATCACTGTCTAGTCAGCCTTTTAAAACTTCTGGGCCATGCATGTCTGCATTGTCACCACTTTCACTTCATTCATCACAGCAATGTATACTTGGGTTTTAGTTGATGCTCTCCACTACCATTAATATGCCTATTTTTCTCGTTAACTCTTGGATACTTTCTGGTGAGTCTCCAGTTTCTTGAACTGAGGTTATCAGGGACGTATTTCTTACTACTGACTAGTGGTTATATTTATTAGTGAATTATCTGGTAACATTCCATTTCTTCAATCTTTACTGCTTGTAATGAATTACCAGATGCAGAGAAATGCAAATTATTTTGATACATATGCTAAAGCCTGGTTTTCTTCCTCGTATTTTTTTAATATATAATACATACTCTTTTCTAAGAGTTGAGTTTCTTATCTTGTCATATAACTACTTGAAGTTATTAATTTTTTAGTAAAATATGGGCCATTCAGTAACATTTTGAAAGATTTCATGACCAGTGACAAAGCTGATGAAACTTATATGAAATACAGATGATGTCTCACACTAAATTAGAATTATTACAGGCAGGTTCAGTGAACTGGTAACTTCTTTATTTGCTTATCCTTGCTTGCACATACACACCGACAGCTGCACAGCTTTTCATGTCATAAATAGCATGGCATTGGGTTTTTTCTCTCTTGTCCATTTGAGTTTTTTATATAGAAATAATTGACTTCTGTTTTTATTTCAGGGTGGAGTAGTCTACACAATAAGCAAGAGTGGATGTGGCCCTGTAAGTACTATTTTTACATTTTATTTTTTGTCCCCAGCATAACTATATTCATAGTAACTCCTAGCTTTCAATGGCATTATTTAATGAATGTTCATGTGGGAGTCTCTGCTACAAATAGAAATACTGATGAGAAATAACTGGTTTATTTTTTGTCTTAGGGAGGTGCTGCTGGTGCATATGGCCTACAAGCCTGCAGAGATGTAAGCTGGTTATATATGTTTTTACTGATTGTCTACTACTATGCTTTTTAACTCATCTCCTTATTGAAAATTGCATTTGATCCTGTTCTGGAGAGCTATTGAAGTCTTCCTCAATATATTCAGGAAAATACTGTTAGCTAGAGGTACTGTTCTGAAATTAAACCCCAAAATTAAAAGGTGTTACACTGACACTTCAAAGCCTAATAATTTATGTTTTAAGGTGTATATGTACACATAGGTGATACACAATATCACATATTAGAAAGTCTTAATTTATTTCCCTACTAAAATGTCAGAATTCTTACTGTGTAACACTTTTTATCAGGTAAAATTATTGTCTTTGGATATTGCATATTTTGGAATATTATTAGAGATTCTTTACAATCTTTGCATATTAATTCTTTAATTAGTAGAGGAATTTCTATTGTCCATCTCATTAATTTTTTTTCACGTGAAAAAAAATTAATAATTAGTAAATTATTGTATAAATAAATACCTGATTTACATTTTTTATTTCAGAGTGCATCCTTATCCAGCAGTGGTCTTACTTATGGCCAGGTAACTGTATTTTTCAACATCTTTTTAGCTTCCTAAGATATTCAAAAGCTAGGCAGTTATGCCTAAATTTACAAAAAAATAATTAAATTTGTGGAAGGGGATAAAGGAAAACTTTCTTCAAATGATTTAGTAATGATCATACCTGGAAATATCTTAATCAGATGAATGACATATCTGGTGTTTGTTTCTGTATCCGTACTTCTATTTTCCACCAAAAATCAATTATATTTATTCTATAAATGGACACCAGTTACTTTTACTATACTTTTCCAAAAGTCAGTGCTTTGTTTGATGGTTACTAAGAATTAAAAGGGTTCTTTTTTTGCTTTTGGGTTAGGTTTTTGGATAAAGGTAGAAGAGTTTATTTTTTTTCCTTACAGAGAGATTTTTTTTCCTACAACAAACTTACAATTTGATGAAACATTTGCAGCTTTTATACAGTACTCTGTAAAACTAGCAAAATAATTGGGCTTTTTAAAAAAAGTGAAACCAGTTGATTTATTGCAGCTGTTCATTTATTAACTGCCAATACATTCACTTTCTTCAGACTCTTACTTTGTTTTGTACCTCATGGGTATCATATTAGTATAATATTCTTGTGGAGAATAGTGCTGTAGTTAATTTGCCATACATTTACCTAAGTAACAAATGAATTCTGTACTCTTTACAGTCTGTCCCTGCAAGCAGTTCAGATTCCAGTAAGAAGGTAAGCACTCCTGTTCAAAGGGAAAAATTCTTACAGTTGTAACTTGGCATGACTCCTGTTGTTTCAGTCAAGACTTTTCAAGGTTTTAACCCAGATTAATTCATATGATTTGATTTGGTTCTTAGAGGCTGGGAGAGCTCCTAATAAGAGAATATTAAAACAGCAGAAGATACAATTATTGCATTTGGCTCATTTTTGGATTTTTTTTAATGAACTCAATATCAAGTCTTTTTTATTTTTTATCATGATACTGAATAAAGACAAAATAAATTGATGTTCTAGTTTGGGGTGGAAAGTTGAGGATCAAAAAAGGGCACACAGTACAGGCAAATAGATATGGTACAGGACAGGAAATCCTGCTTCTTCCTCTACAGCTGTGTCATCATGTGCCTTAGGGAAAATCTTTAATCTGCTTATATCCTTGTGTAAACTATATATAAATATATATCATTCTTTGTTTGGTGATGTGCATTATTTTTTTTAATAAAAATGCCATTTTATAAGAGGGATCTTCCATAGCATTATTATCAGAGTTTGTAAATTTACAAATTTTAGTATTCTTCATTTTTCTGGCATATTTAGTAATATATAAATAATCTTTATGGTAAGTAAATAGCTTCCTCTGATTTCTCCATAGGTTGTGGTCGTTGCCAACAGCAACCCTTTTCCACCTGTGGTAAGCTGTTTTTCTCTACAATACAAATTTTCCCTACAAATAACTTCAACCCAAAAAGCTTTCAAACAGCAGCGTTTTTAATTTTCAGAAATGTTCCTGGAGACAATTTTTTGGCAGGCAAGATTTACCCTATGTGTATAGTTATCTTCAGGGAAGGTGTGTTATAAGATAGGTGCAAACCTCGTGGTTCTGTGATTGCTGCTAATGCTTGCAGAGACAATGGATTAGCTGCAGACACCAGGTCTCTCCATGTATGCAGTCTCTGTGTGGCCAAATGGTTTTGATTTTCTGTTTCAATTGCAATTTCCTTCTGTAAGTTTACTTCCATTCTCATTTTTAAATTATTACATTTCCACTCTGCTTACTTGGAACGAAAACTAAGTTTAGCCTTCAGGTGCTTGAAGTGAGCTTTTATAATGTAATATTTTATATATGTTGAATTTCTAATAGAATGTGTTGTTCTAACTTGAATAAAGGTCAAGGTGCATTTATTCTATGTCATCCTTTTTATATAATTCTTTCACATTCCACTATATATTGCATCTGAAAGATAAGGGCCCTTTTTCCCTTCCTCTGCTGCAATATTCTCTTTGGGCATGACCTTGTGCAAAATAATGAAAGATTTTTCTGTTTCTTTGCAGCGTCACACCTTCCCTCAGGTAAGAATACTTTTTCTTTTGATTCCTAGGATCATCATAGTTCTTATGGGATCAAACCAGTTGTCTCAGGATGGTGTGTGCTACTCTTTTACATTTGTCCCTCATGCCTCAGAATTCAGCAGAAAAAATGCCTGGATGAGGAAGTGGATTTTTGTGTGTTGATGTATGTGCAGTGCAGGTGACAGTGAGACAGGCTGGAGGGGTGATGATGTCTCAGTTTCCCTCCTCACATTTGGAAACCCCAAGCTGACTGGTAGTGCAAAAAAGTTGTGCACATAACCTGTGCTCTGCTGCTCTCCACAGATGTAAGAGTAGAAAATTAGTAGGGTCAGTCTGCCTCCCCAAACCTTCAAGCTGAGAATAAACTAGCTTAATGCTGGGTGTTAAGAACTGGTACACAGTACATCACACATACGACTTTTCCCTTTATTTTCACAAACTGATTAGTTTATAAATACTAAATACTGACTTACTATTTTCTGTTTAAGTGCATTGCATTAAACAATTAGCAATTAGATGTGCTATATTATGTTTCTTTGTTTCTGGATTTTTTTTTTCAGAGTTTGGGAAGCTCTGCTACAAGGATCATAGTACAGGTAGACATTTTTTCTCCATTACACTTGAGTTTTAAATGAAGGTTTGCCTTAGTAAACTAAGTAATAATTCCTCTCTTAGGGAACAACAAGTGTGGATAACTTAAAGATATCTTACATGTCTACAAACTACAGTGGTAGAGTAGGGCATTTCTGTGACTACAGCAAAGGGGATATCTTAGCTGGTTGCTGAATAAAGACTATTGCAGCTGTTTTCTACATGTAAAAACTTTTAAAACCTCTGTATGTGAATTCTATTGCAGACTCAAAATTGGCAACATTTGACCATCTTGTCTGGTCAGGAAGGAGGGTGGAATTCTAAAGCTTGACTGTTACTCAGAACTAAAGCTTGAATGTTACTCAGTATGAAATCAAATATAAATTGCAACAGTTCCATTTTAATTTAAACAGCCCATTTTTAATGGAAACACCCATTCAGAATTACATTTTTAAAATCCTGCTGTTAATGCCTAGGTGAACTGTTGTATTTGTAATGTTACTTCTTGATAACCAGGCACTTGGAAAATTGATTGCAGTCTAATCTCACTACTAGCATGCTTATAAAATATTATGAATATCATTCAGACATATTTGTCTGGGTTCTTTGCCATTTTAGCACCCATCCCACTGTTAATGGCTAGTCAGTCCACCAGATGCCAGTCCATCAGACTACGACAACAAATTCTCACTTTCATTGGAAGATCAGTAGCAGGTTACCCCAGCTGAAATTTGTCTTTCCAAAACCATTGCTTCCAAAATGTATAGCATTATTTTCTTCCATGACTAGTGATGAATGCTGGCAAAGAAAGGAATAAGATTTCCTTGTTATTTTGTTTATGACTTAAAATATACAGTGTTTTGATTATGCAGGTTAACTGTTTTCAATGTGTAAATATTAAAAATATTTTATTCCTCTCAAAATTGAAATATTTTCTGGGAATCAAAATATTTTTTGCAGTGGTTTTTTGTTATGTTAATTTTAACTGTGGATTTTTCAATTTTTGTTTTGGCAAAGACTTTATCAAAAGTTTGTTGTGCTTATTAATGAAAAACATAATTCATAATGTAAATAGAAATAGATATGGGTTTAAGGCAATTTGTGAGGTACATTTGAAAGGTAGAATTATTTTAACTCACTTCAAATACCACAATATGACACAAAGATGTATTATACAATTAATTTTCATTATGAAAATCATATCAAGATATAGAAATACTTTTAACACTTCATTTGTGTAGGACTTTTATATACATTTTGTAGCATGTGGAGATGAAATAAGGTAAGAAAAAGTGTAATAAACTCTTCATAGCCATCAAACTTTCTAGTAGATGGAAGGACAGAATTGCATCTTGAAATGGGTTAGTGCATAAGCAATTCCTCTTAAAAATAAATAACCTTTTCTTTTGTTCCTGTGTAGAGTGGACAAAAACAGCAAACCAGCAGCAGTACTTATTTTCAGGTAGGTAAACTTTAAAAGTGTTATAAATATTCCTACAGACTTCCCTAAAACAGGGGCAGCACAACTTACAAATAAATTATTTTCTGCATATAAAAATGGATTTCACAGGTGCAGGTATTTCTATTTCCCAGGCTTTTGTTCATGAAAATACCATCTGATATTGGCATTCAAATGATTTTGTTTGTGATGCTCACAAATGCATTTCCATGTGTGCTGGTTTGGCATGAAATGAGTGTATTCCACTCAGAGCATAAGGGTCAAGGCCCTGAGAGGAAGCGATTCGAGGCTCATTACCACACCATCAGCCCCATACTGATAGATTCAGAGCCCATACATATTTAACCTCAAATTCCAAAAGTTGTAAAGGGTAGTTGCTTAGCCATATCAAGAATGATGAAAAATCATAATCATGGAACTATGTGCAATGTCTTCCAGCATTGCTTAAAGCCATGAAGATAAAGCTACTTGGGTGGGAAAAAAAAAAAAAAAGTGAGGGAATTCTAGAAAATATTCACACAGTGGCACCATAAATTCTTGTAAACTAAAACTTGAGAATATTCACAGTATGAACTCAAGTATGAAGGCTCTTTAGGTCTTCCTAGGTCTTCCTTCTCATGGGGGCTGGGGGTAGGAGGGGTGCAAAAGTCCATCAATATTCTCTGCAGCAATCATGCAACAAGAAAACTGTTTCAAATTGGAAGGTATAGGATTTAGGGATCAGTGCCACTACTCAACATCAAGAGTATTCAATATGCACAAGGTTGGCAGTCATGGCTTCTGATGAGAATATGACAATCTATTGCAGGGCTGTTAGCATACTGGTCTGTCTCTTTTGTGCTTTTTGAGAAATCCCCAGACAGCTGTATTTTTATAAACATTATGCTCTTTAAAAAAGGCTCCTTGTCAAGTTGGTAATTATCTTCTCTTTATTTACAGGGTTCCCAAGGCAGCCAGTCCTATGGTCAGGTGAGATGTTTTGCTGAAATATGTAGAGCTTTTCTGTAGGAGCCTGCTTTCTTACCTTCCTGATCTTTTTGAGTGGTTCATAAGTTTGGTTTGTACCACTGAAATACCATGAAGGAAAAAAGAACATAGTACAGAGGAACTTTAAGAGGAAATGAACTTTTCTGCTGCTGCTGTACTAAGACTGAGGATATAGCTTTGTTTACAAATGAACTCTTACCTTCCTTGCAGGGCTACAGACCTCAAGGCAGCAGTTCCTACAGCCAGGTAAGCATCAGGAAGAATAGAGCATTTCAGAATTGACACTGTAAAGGCAATTAGCAAACCTCAGAATTTGAACTTTAAAGGACATTTTCTCTGAAAGTGTCCATTCACACTCAGCGTGTATGCATGTGCTACTTGTTGTTCGGGAATCCCAGTGTGTAAAATCATCCCACTCAGCATCCTCAGGACAGCCAGGAGATGCCTGGCTCTGCATTCTGCCCTGCATGGCTTTAGCATGTATTTGCTTGCTGCTGTTGCTAATGCAGACCAGACCCCTTACTGAAAGGGAAGTAACCAAATGGTGTCCTTGTCTTAGGGTGGAGAGGCTGGCCCCCTTACTGAAAGGGAAGTAACCAAATGGTGTCCTTGTCTTAGGGTGGACCAAGTTTCTCAGGCAGCAGCTCCTATGGCCAGGTAAGCAAACTGGCTGTTCTGCAGAAAGTTCTTTACTGGTCTCTGTGACTGGCATGACTGGAAGGCTTTTGAGAGTGATGTTTCCCCTGGCACTCTGTACCTCAATTTGGGCCATGGTTTCTGCTGAGAATAAGACAATGTGCTGCACAGATGCACAGCTGTTAGCACACTGCTCTGTGTCCTTCTCTTCCCTAAAAGGAAGAAACCTTTTAGGGAATCCCACATGCAGCTGTTATTTCCAAAGATATCATGCTCTATAAAGAAGCCTCCTTGTCAAGGTGGTAATTATCTTCTCTTTATTTAAAGGGTTCCCAAGGCCTCTTCACTGATCTCTCTGTGACTGGCATGACTGGAAGACTTTTGGGAGTGATGTTTCCCCTGGCACTCTGTACCTCAATTTGGGCCATGGTTTCTGCTGAGAATAAGACAATGTGCTGCACAGATGCACAGCTGTTAGCACACTGCTCTGTGTCCTTCTCTTCCCTAAAAGGAAGAAACCTTTTAGGGAATCCCACATGCAGCTGTTATTTCCAAAGATATCATGCTCTATAAAGAAGCCTCCTTGTCAAGGTGGTAATTATCTTCTCTTTATTTAAAGGGTTCCCAAGGCAGCCAGTCCTATGGCCAGGTGAGACTTTGTTACTGAACTGTCTTGAGCATTTCTGCAGGAGCCTGTCCTGTAAATGGACGTTGGAACATGGGTGGATTTTTCCTTCCCAGTGTTTCTGAGTGGTCCTTGAATTTGTTTGTGCCACTGAATTTTCTGCAGAAGCCTGTCCTGTAAATGGACGTTGGAGCATGGGTGGTTTTTCTCCTTCCCAGTGTTTCTGAGTGGTCCTTGAATTTGTTTGTGCCACTGAAACATACATGAGGAGAAAACTAACATAGTAGAGAGGAACATTTAATGTAAATGGGCTTTTCTCTCTGGTATTCTGTGATTCTGCTTCGGCTGTGCTGGGACTACACTTACACAGCTCTTTTTACAAATTACTCTGTGCCTTTCTTACAGGGTTATCAGCCTCAAGGTGGCAGTTCCTATGGACAGGTAGGCATCAGTCAGTGCTGTGCTGGGACTACCCTTACACAGCTCTTTTTACAATTGACTCTGTGCCTTTCTTACAGGGTTTTCAGCCTCAAGGTGGCAGTTCCTATGGACAGGTAAATGTTAGTTGGAATAGAACACTTGAGAAAGCAAAGTGCCATTGCCCTGAAAAGTTAACAAATTTTAAAATATTCTTTTTTTAATTCACATTGAATTCTTAACCAATGTAACTCTGAATCCATTTAAAATGGTTTGTTTTGAACATGACTGTTGTGTTTTTCGTGGATATATACAGGAGTCGTAGATTTTTGCTGCAATCTTATCTTTTCCACAGGTGTGGAACTTAAAAAATTTATGGTAGAAATGGTCTGTTTGATGCTATTCTCATTCCAGTTGATGGTAGAATACAAATTCATTGTCAGTTCTTTGCTGCCTGCTTTGCTGTCAGCAGAGAAGTAACATTGAGAAATTGAAGTACCTTAGGTCAGATTCTCAGCTGAATGAAGAATTTATCTTGTAGCCTGCAACAAATGAATGTCTACCTCTCTTCACAGTTTTTATGTACAATAAAGCAGCACTAAGAGAGCTATGAGTTTTGTCAGGATCTCTATGTCAGATAGCAAAAATAGACCAGCATACTTCTAATACTTTTTGGTAATTCCTGTCTTCATAACCCTGCCAGGCAGCTGTGGCACAGGTCTGCAGGTACATGAAACAACTGCACTTTTTTGAGATTATATTATAGGCAGATTGCAACAGCAAATTATAACCACAGTAATTTTATATTACTGAGAATTTTTTTTTAATACAGTCATCCTTGGCTAATTCATTTGAACTGCTACTTTGAATTGCATTATTTTGTTTCCATTTTGTGAAGCTATAATTTTTCTAAGATTGTCTTAACTTTTAAAAATTATTTTTCACCCTAATTTTCTCTCAGATGAAGGAAATTATGCAACTGGGGCCAATGAAAAATAAAAATATATTAAATCAATATTCACCTAGTATTCAGCATTAGCCATCCAAGCCCAGTGTCTGAAAAAAGGAGAAATAAACATAATAACAAAATGTTGTGTCCCTTCCTGAAAAACTCTCCTAAGACTGGAGAACTGTCTGAGACAGATGTGAAACTACTCTGTGATTGTCATTCAATACACACAGTGTGATCACCTATTTCTCCAGAATAAGAAATATGAAAATAAGTCTAGTCAAGCAGTAGAGTCTGTACATTCTCTTATTCTGTTTTCTTCCCCCAACAATAGACATTAGAGAGGCAAGTGCTTCACAAATAGAGTAACTGTGACTCAATCATTAATTTCACACAGGGGTACCAGCCTCAAGGTGGCAGTTCCTATGGCCAGGTAAGCATCAGTCAGTCACCGGTAAGAATAGAGCATTTCAGAACTGGCACTGTAAAGGCAATTAGCAAACCTCAGAATTTGAACTTTAAAGGACATTTTCTCTGAAAGTGTCCATTCACACTCAGCGTGTATGCATGCGCTACTTGTTGTTCGGGAATCCCAGTGTGTAAAATCATCCCACTCAGCATCCTCAGGACAGCCAGGAGACGCCTGGCTCTGCATTCTGCCCTGCATGGCTTTAGCATGTATTTGCTTGCTGCTGTTGCTAATGGAGGCTGGCCCCCTTACCGAAAGGGAAGGAACCAAATGGTGTCCTTGTCTTAGGGTGGACCAAGTTTCTCAGGCAGCAGCAGCAGCTCCTATGGCCAGGTAAGCAAACTGGCTGCTCTTCACTGATCTCTCTGTGACTGGCATGACTGGAAGACTTTTGGGAGTGATGTTTCCCCTGGCACTCTGTACCTCAATTTGGGCCATGGTTTCTGCTGAGAATAAGACAATGTGCTGCACAGATGCACAGCTGTTAGCACACTGCTCTGTGTCCTTCTCTTCCCTAAAAGGAAGAAACCTTTTAGGGAATCCCACATGCAGCTGTTATTTCCAAAGATATCATGCTCTATAAAGAAGCCTCCTTGTCAAGGTGGTAATTATCTTCTCTTTATTTAAAGGGTTCCCAAGGCAGCCAGTCCTATGGCCAGGTGAGACTTTGTTACTGAACTGTCTTGAGCTTTTCTGCAGAAGCCTGTCCTGTAAATGGACGTTGGAGCATGGGTGGTTTTTCTCCTTCCCAGTGTTTCTGAGTGGTCCTTGAATTTCTTTTTGCTACTGAAACACCATGGGAAAAGTAACAAAATAGAGAGGAACATTTAATGTAAATGGGCTTTTCTCTCTGGTATTCTGTGATTCTGCTTCGGCTGTGCTGGGACTACACTTACACAGCTCTTTTTACAAATTACTCTGTGCCTTTCTTACAGGGTTATCAGCCTCAAGGTGGCAGTTCCTATGGACAGGTAGGCATCAGTCAGTCATTAGTCATTATACAGCATGTATTTGATGTTCCCATACATGTATTGAGAATCCACTGGTTTCTAGCTTGAACTAATATAGTGAGAATCGCTTTAGAATTAAGTCCTATGACCCTTTTTTCATATGGCTCTGGCAACAATTGGCTCACTGAGCTGCATTTTTCCCTGTAGAAAGGTGTGCATTCAGTTCTCAGCTTTCTGATGCACTTTAGTATTCAGCATACTCAGTATTTTACCAAATAATTCACAGTTGGATATAGTTGGTCTTTTACCCTTGAAGCACCCTGGCAGCTAAAGCCCTTGAAAATGTTTGAAATGAGAAGAGAGAATGAGTATATTTGGATCATGAGCTGCTCTTTTTCTTTTCCCCAGCAGGGTGGCTCTGCAGCTTATTTTGGCAGCAGTGGTTGTGGACAAGTAAGACTTTTTCTCCAAACTATTTGAAAACTAGACCCTGCTTTCTTTGCAATACTAACATGCTTTTAATAATTTTTATAATTTTTGTAGTTTGAAATCTATTGTTTGCATTGTTACATGAACTTATCTGTCACAGAGGTCAAGAAAGGCAGCTATTATTGGCCGTTGTAACCAATATGAAGTGGCTGCTCCCATTCAGAGTTACATACGGAAAACAAATAAGTGATTAATCTGTCTGCTCATTAAGTATATAAAGTCTTTGCTTGGGAATTTTTGGATGTTGCTCCATTTATTTTCTATAGAAAAGAACAGGAATAGAGAGTGGCTCAAATGGAGCAATAACTACATTAGTAGTTTTCATCCTGGTTTCATTTCAACTTGTCTTTGTCTACAGTGGTGTAAAAACAATGTATTCAGTGATGAGATCCCAGGGAAAAGGGTCATGGATGAGGCCAATAGTAAATTTACATTTAAATAAATATATTGAGCAAAGCAACCAGAATGAAAGGTAATCACAGATAAAGACATCTTAAGCAGCATCATAAGGAGCAGTACAATAAGGACACCATTACCAGCAATGAAAGTGATAAACACTGAAGAATGTGTTGTTTCCACTAAGCTGTGTCACAGGTTGACTTATCAAGAGAAGACCTGTACTGTAATATGGGAGGGTCACAACCAGGGTAGAACACTTTCTGGGTACTGTACCTCACCTTCTAATCACAACATATACCCAGAACAGGCAAATGAATGGCTCTGAGCAGAAACTTTGCCTAAAATCCATGGTGGTGAATCTAGCAAGAGATTGATGGCCACATTTAGAAAGATGATCACCCAACAGTAAGAGTTACTTCCAAAAAAACCCCACCAACAGTTCATCTTTACCAATCAAGAGATCAAGGGATCATCCCAGTCAAGGGATGATACAGAGAGACATCAATTACCAAGGTACCGCTTTGCATGTGGCTCACAAGTATTCCTTTGATCATCTGTTTGAAAGTGTCTTGATGCTTGTGTGGGGGTATGAGAGTGACAGAGGGTAAAGCCACACACTTAAAAGGTTAAGCAAAATTGAACTCACTTTCTGGAAAGTTAAATGTTGAATTTTGTAACACTAATTCTCACATAGGAAATTGTAAGGAAACTACTTTGCAAGAAAAATGGCATTTACTTTTTTGTCTGGTTGGTTTTTGACAGGGTGTCTCCTATGATAGCAATCCCTGCCACCAGGTAAATGGGCTTTCTTCTCTTATTTTAAGATGCATCCAAAATTATTTTTGCCGCTAACTCAATTAGTCCCAAATTCAGATTCATATTGCCAAAATCCATATAATCTTTCAAATTTTGAGATTAGAACTCACTCTGTTCCTATACACAGGAGTATCACAGGGACTTTGGAGCCTTCTCTTCCCCTTTTTCTTAGCATTATGTTTTGAAATGTCTAATTCTATAGGACATTAAGGACAGATTCTGGAAAGAAGTCTGCAGAGTTGCCTAACTGGTGTGACTTAAATCAGGGCTAGAGCTCAGCAGCCTCTCTTTTCCTATCAAAAAGCCAGAAAATATTTTAGAACTTTGCTTGAAGTCCCTGAAAAAAAAGTTTGTGCAGTGAACTATAGATAGCCACATGTGTATTTGTTGCAAGTTCAAGTTTTGGAGCTCTACAGACCACTATCCTAAAAGATGTCATTTATGTTTAAAGAAGTCACCCCTGTGATGTTAAAAATTAGGCAGAAAATGGCAACAAATTATTTCCTTTTTATTCACAATTCGTCTTTTGATTCTTACTAAGTTTTCACAAGAAACAGAAAAATTGGATAGATTGCTTCAACAAGCATTGTGTTTTAACAATATAAATATATACTATATTTATAAATATGCAAACAACATAGATGCTGCTACAATGTATTATTATTATGTGGTCAGAATGTACAATGCATTGTATGTAATATATTATGACTTGGTAGAATTCTATATTTAATAGGCATATATTTTATAACAGCTTTTATTTTTTTAAGAGAACCTATTTCTTTTTAAGACTAAAGAGAATGCTTAAATTTTGTTCTAAAATCTTCTAGAACATTGAAAGATGATACTTTTCATTTCATTTTCCTTTGTTCTGAATGAAGCCTTACTCCCATTTTAGTGAATGGCAAATATCCCACTCACTTAAATAATTCAGTATTTCACTATTCTTATTATGCACTTTTGACACTAATACTTCTACAAATATCTCTTCTGATTTCACTGGAAGGAATTACATTCCTCTTCTGAAGAGGGCACATTGAAATATACTGAGTGTTTTATTTAAAACCTTGTTCTCAAGGCCACTGTCTCTCAGAGGTCACAGCTTCCTGTATGATAATGCTACTAAGTAAATTTGTATAAATTAATTCCATTTGTATAAATTAGGTTTTCTACAGGAGAAAAAAAAAGATACATTCCCTACAAAGTGTTCATAATGGAGCTCATCTGTGCACTAGAAATCACTTAAATGTTTGAAGTTCCTTGATTTATGTCTCATCTAGTATTTACCATTGCATTACTGGCAATCTGTGCTCATTACATTAAAAATTATATTCATATTTTATATCTGCCTCTACTTTTTACTCTTCCTAAGCAAGTATCATAGCTTTATCAAAAATATTCCATGGTCAAACAGTGAGCGTCTAAAGCCTTTTTGTCTGATTTACAGGGTGGATCACAGGGTGGATCACAGGGTGGTCAGGTAGGTAGATCTTTATTATCCATTGGTAAAAATGTTTAAAGCAATTCTAATCCACAGTACAGTTTTCTTACACATGGGGGTATACACTCTTGCAGAGTCTCTCCATGCCCAGTCTGTAACTCATTCTCTGCAAACATATTTTTTATGAGCCCTGAAATTCCACTTATGTAAAAGTGGAAGTTACACAGAATTTCCATAGAACTCGGCTACCTAGGACAGCTCTATTCACTCAGATAAAATTCAGCTCTCCAGCATTATGACTGCTGCTGTTTTGTTTTCACAGGGTGATTCATACTCCTCACAAAACTATGGTGGCAGCCAAGTAAGTATTGCCTCCCACCAAGGTTTTATAATGACTTTAATTTCTGTGATGACTGATCAATATCTGATCGGCAATATGTTAATGTAAATTCTAATTATTTTGTTTTTGGTTTTTTTTTTAGCAGAGTGGATCATCCCAGAATTATGGTGACAACCAGGTAGGCAGAGCTTGATTTTCTCCAGGTAATAATTTTTATAATGTTTGATAATTTATCCAGAAATCTTGAAAATTGTATTTGTTCAAAGGAATCCTAGGCAATTGTTTGTTCCAGCTTTACAGCCTCTGAACCAAATCACAGTTTCCTCTGAAGCAGAGCTTATATTTGTTTGTTTTATAGGATGGATCCTACTCACAAAACTATGGTGGTGGCCAAGTAAGTAATACTCTATTTCACTACTTATACATCACTTCATATAAACTTTAGCCTCTGCTCAAAATCAGGTTTTCTATATTGTAGCTTTCTCCAATTTTGATTGGGTTTTTTGTTTGTTTTAAAGGGTGGATCATCCTCAGACACCTATTATGATAATCAGGTAGGTAGTTCTTTCTTTCTCCTAGTTACATAATATTTGTAGTCCCTGCATCTACTCAAAGATCTAATAAAACATAATTATTTCTGTGCTCTTCTTGGTTTGGATTTGTTTAGTTGGTGTTTTTTTTCTTTACTGGAGATTGGAACATTCCCTGTCAGCCACTATTGCAGCTATGGATTTGGCTCCTTTTTTTTCTTATAAAGATCCTAATTTAATTTAACTCAGCTTCTTTTTTCATGAGCATCTTTTCTGTCTTGTACAGTAAACATGAAAGTGTATTTTTAGCAATTCATTTTTGTGAAGAAATAACTGGTATCTGATGTCCTTCTAGGAGTCACAAGATTCCTCATATGACAATAATCCCAATGCTTGTGATGATGTGAGTATGCTTTCTCTAATGTATTTTTATCACAACGTTTTTCATGTAGATGAGAAAATATTGCTCTGCTATATGCAGTCTTTGGAGCAAAATGATCTAGAAAGAATGCTGAGTTTCCACGCTAACAGCTGTTTCAGTAACTGCCTCTTCTCTTGCTGAAAAGTGTCATATATATGTTTACAGATACAGTTAATGCTTTTAAATGCATTTAACTGGATGAAATGAAAGATGAATAAAAATACTTCAATGGTTTTGCAGTAACAGATATTTTCCTCAAAATCTAAGGGTACATTTTGCATGAATTAAAAAAAATAAAAACAACCTGCAAGAAAATCTTTAAGTAGATACAATTAATGCAAGAAGAAGGGACAGATATTCCACTGCTTTTCATGTTACATTTGTACTAATCTAAGTTGTTATTACAATGTTTTTCGGACTGCAATGGTAGAATTTCAAACTAATTTAGACAAGGCTGTGGAGAATGGGAGCAATAAGTCATTTTTGTAATGGGAGCAACAAGTCATTTTTGTAATGGGAGCAACAAGTCATTTTTGTTATGTCTGTATGCAGTATCAGAAACAATTTGTTTTCTTTAAGCTTGCTTTATTTGAATAATCTTTAAAAAAGGAAATAATGTATTCTTTTCCAGAATGACACTACCTACAGTTCCAATAGTCAAGTAAGTACTTTGTTTGTTCTGTAGTGTTCAAATTCTAATGATTAATGACAATGGTAGTAACTAAACACTTCTATATTAGACCTGTGGACCTTTAGTATATGATTACTTTATACTACCCTTCAAAAAGTTAATTATTTCTCTATACTCAAGGCTGCTGCACAATTACTTCAAATGACACAATATTTCTAAGAATATATACTAATAGATTTTGTTCATAATATGTCCACTTTGACCAGATAATTTGGGAATTCATCACCTGTGTACATGAGGCAGGTAGCCATATCAAGCTTTTCACACTCATTCAGATTTAATGTCACCTACATGCTGCTGTTGTAAACATTTCTGCCTGGTATTCCCCAGTATTACTCTGTCAAGACTTTCCATCTGTCCTACAAGCAAAAACAGTGATTACCATGAATAGATTGTGACAAGCAAATACACTGTTGTGTAAATAATTTATGTGTAAATAAATTACATTTTGTCTACTTGTTTCTGTTCATAGAAAAGCTTTTTCCATCTGTCACAGCCTCCTTTTGTTTTACTGCCATCTAGAGTAACCTTCTGTCATCAGCTACTTGCTTTTTCAGTTCTCAGCCATTCACTATTCTGCTTCACTGTTGTCCCTATTTTTCCTCTATAGTACTTAAGTACTGCACCAAATGTATTCTAAAATGTACAGAGGCCTTCTGAAAACATCTTTTCTTTTGGCTTGTATTTACCTTGAATTCATTGCACCAGGTCCAATTCCAAATGTTCTGAAAAAAAATTCCTTCAGCAGCAAGCCCTGTTTAGGAGCCTCCTCACTTCCTCTTTTGTACATGAAATATGATAATATTCCCTTGGTTATCTCTATCCAGTCTGTATGGCTGGACTGCTTTGTAAAAGAGTTGGCATCTAAACTTTCTCACAAAGAAGGATGGGGAATGTTAAAAAAAAAAAAAAAAAAAAAAAAAAAAGGAGGGAGAAAAAGGAAAAAGCATCCTTATACAGATATACAGATTGTATACTAAACTACAGTGGTTCAGCTGAGGGAGACTCCCCTAAGCAGGAACTTCTGTTGAAAGAGATAAACTGAAAACAGACAAAGAATATGCTTTTTAAGAATCTTACTGCTCATAAAAAAAAATTTCTGGACATCTTCATTTTCCAAACATCACCCTGACAAGTAGTATGTTTTTTTTGAAGCATTTAATGTGGACAACTACAGCTATAAAGTACTAACAGGCTTGTGGCTCCTTTGCAGCGTTCTGGTTGTACAAAGAAGAAAGTTGTTGCCCGAGTAAGTAACACCTTTTTTCTTTTAATTTTTGTCTGCTTGTAGGATTTTAGTCCTAACTATACCTAATCTGACTTAATTATACGTAACTTTTCCCTAATTATGTTTATAGTAGTCAATATCCTCCTACATAAGGGAAAAGTAAAATAAAATTGCTTGGGTATTTGTTCTTTGGATTAATCTCTTTAAAGAAGTATATATATGAAAAAAACCCAAAACATTTAAATCATGCTTTGAAATATAGGGTAGCTCAAATTCCTGTTCTTCATTAAGCACATACAGAGTTGGTCCAAGCTAAAGTCAATATTAAATGAGTATCATGCAAACAAAGGACAGCTAACATTTTAGCTGTAGAAAGATAGAATAATAAGTAAGGAAGAATATTTCCTACTTCATTATGTTCATAATAGGTGATACAAATATCTGTACTGTACAGTTGCAAGTCCGACTCAGTAGTAGCCTTATAAAAATTATGTGCAAATAGTCTTTTATTTTATAATAATGCATTCCTACTCAATGTACACAACAACGGGTCTGGTGCTCTTCTAAACAAATAACATGGAAAGAAAAAAGACCTATCTCTGATCATGGAATTTTCATCTCCTCATTGTAAATGCTATTAATTTTTTACAGGACACATCACATGTTTTAAGCAGAAGAGCCTATGATGTACAGGTAAACCATTCTTGTCCCTTTTTCTGAACAACTGCTGGTAGTAGTATTACCTACAAAAAAAGAAGGCTCTAGTGTCCACAAACAACAACCAATTCTCTTTAAGGTTAAGTATTTCTTTCCAAATAGAACTATGTATTTTATTTTATTACCCCTACAGAAATGTGTCTTTTTTTTTCCTCACAGAATGCATCTTCTTCAAATAACAGCCACTCTGACATGCAGGTAATAATGTAGTGTAATGTAGTTTTGTAAAAGTAATTTGAAAAACACAAACTTTATAATCTCAGATTCTTGTTTTAGAAACATTCTTGCAGTCTTTATTGTAGTGGCCATATATATAATTGTTTCATTTTGTATTTGGTAAGAAGGTACATTTTAGGGATTACATACTTCTGTTACAAAAATAGGTCCAACTTTCATATTCTGTAGGACATACAGAATATATACTTCACCAGTGTTTATATGAGAGAATTATGTGAAATTTAATTGATCCAGAGTGGCACCTTATTCTGGTTTTCTTAGTATCTTGGATTGGTACCCATCCCAGGGGTCTGAAATCCTGCTACACCCACATTAAGTAGATTTAACAGTAGCATATTCCTCTGTCTCAGAGAGCTTGGAGTTTAATTCAGAATTGCAGACAGATCTCTGAGCTTGGAAGGTAAAGGTTTTCTTAATTAGTTTCTCTAATGCCCATTCCCTATGAATAGTATCAAGTCACTTAATTAGGTTTCATGCTAATTTATGTTTTCACAAAAATTCAACAGGTGCAGGGAAGTAATAGAGTTTGTAATAGCATTTCTCGTTACATAGTTTAATACTTTGGAGTCTAATAAAATGCTTTAATAAAATATAATTGCTTTCTTCACAGGGTGGATCATTTATTGCTACCAGTGGATCAAGTAATCAGGTCAGGATTTTCTTTATTTTTAACTACTCTTGTTCAGATAGTTTCCTATTAAATGAATTAAAATCAGAAATCAGAGTCTAAGTAGTTTTACATGGAAGACTGGTGATGTTGTCCATTAATTTGTAAATGTGGCCCTATTCATATTAAATTTATCAGAAATGGCTCTCTGAAATCACTTTTTAGCACTGTTCCAGCATAACATGTGTTTTACTGGTGACAGCATAGTGGGATACTCCTGACTACCCTATACTTCTTGCTGAGACATCTGTCGTTGGGACATCCCACTGGGAGAGGCACTATCAGTCTGACTTCCAAAGCAAACATTAACAGCACACATCTGTGCTGTTCCCTCATTTGTTCTATGTACAGCAAAGGTCATACCTTCTCTGTAGTCCCACAGACTTTGCTCCCTTACGCAGTTTTGCATCTGAAATAAGACTGTATTTTTAATTTCCACAGTTTCCACAAAGCAATAATTGTTTCCTTTTTTTTTAAATATTTGTAGGGTGGTTGCATTTGTCCTGATGGAAGCAATGGTCATAGACAGGTAATTATATTTCTGAGTTTATACTTCCTTCTACTGTGACTAAAAATATCAAAATTTGTTAAATATTTCAAAATATAACCTCTCAAATCAATATTTAAACTGTTCTTTCCCTGTAAAGAGAATAATTGAAATTTCAATGTCAGTTGCACTGAATAATCTTTTCCCTTACGTAATGCCTCTGGGCCAGGAAAAAGGCCAAGGAATGTGCTTATGTGGGCATTATAGACTAGCTCTACCAAGCTTCTGGCTTTTAAATCACCTTGGATTGTAAAGTAACCTGTCTTCTCTCAGGATACATATTTCTGAATCTTTTATTGAAGCTGTATTTACATAAACCCATTTGAATAGTGTAGTATTTTTTTTTTGTTTTCAATTTCAACAAGAAGCATTTTGTGAATTATTCTTTCTGTAAAAACCCCCATGCTATTTAAACAAACTAAATGTATAAAAAAATACTGTTTTCTGAACTTAACTTCATTAACTTAAAATATAGCAACAGAAATTTTGCTCAGATACAATATCACCTCTTTCATATAATTGAGGCTAAGCAGTAACCATGGTTTACATGGTTTAAAATATAAATTAGTCCATTAAAATAAATAATACTGAAACTTCATTGAGGAAAAAAATCTTTTTATTTGTTGTGTGATTGTACAAAAATCCATTTATAAGGAAAAAGGTGGAGATATTTATGCAAGTTTTTTCATTCTAATAAACATTTTTCTTTGCATGCTTTAATTGTTGCAAAAAAAAGGTTTTAACAGAAATCTAGCACAGCTTGCTTGAGGAGTGTGTATTTAGTTCCTATCAACAAGAAATTTTCAACATGAAGAAAATAAGATGTCAAACTAAGACAGATGAGAAAACCAGCTCTCAATGCAGTTGTGTCAACTTTGATGCACAGGGGACTTATTTTCCAATTTGTAATCGTATCAGCTGATCAAATTAATGTATGATAAAGTATGTAGCAGTAGATTTGGTTTTTGCTTTCATGGTCTTATTTTCATTTTCTGTCCAGGGCCCTCTACATGTGGCAGCTACAGCTCTTACAGTAGCATGTAAACAGATTGGCCATGACAGGTTATATTCTAATAATAGTAAAAAAGCAAGCACTAGGTAGATGTATACATACAAAAAAACTACCATTCATAAATCTTAAATAAAAGACAGAGTGATGTAATTCCTAGGGCAGTGGTTACAGTACCAAGCTTGACAGAGGTCAAGAAGCATTTGGACAATGCTCTCAGGCACATGGTGTGACTCTTGAGGCTGGTCCTCTGCAGGACCAGACGTTTAACCTGATAATCCTCTTCAGTCCCTTCCAACTTAGTTTATTCTGATTCATTGAAGATTCTTCAGTAGAACAGAAAAATTCTTGCAAAAAGCTTTCTTCTAGATTTAAAAGCTGTGAGTTACACTAAAGTCTCTTCAAATCTGAAGTATTATAAATTAAGAGTCAGAGCCATACATATTTAAACCAGCTTGTTTCAAAGGAAAAATAGGTTTATGCATGTGGATCCCCAAATTCCTCACACTGCAATTATTTTACTTTTTCTCCAAGCTTCATTTAAAGACAAGATCTTAGTCTACAAATAGTCTCAGAGGAAGCACTCTAACCATAGAATAGTGCTTCCTCTGTTTTTATATAAGGGGGAAATGACAGTTATAGTGAATGTAGGAGATGGTAAATAGTCTTCTCCTTTATGTCTTGAGCTGAGAAACATCCTCTCCTAAATAATCTTTACTCTTTGGAAGTCCAGTATTCTGGCAGTTTTTAAAAGGGCCATCAAGGTCATGATCATACATAAAAACATAGAGTCTGCAAGTTGTGACATAGAATTCTGCCATTAGAAAAAGTAAAACTAAATGTTAGTACTACTTTCAAATCTTTTACCCTGAACAGGAAATAACAGAACCTGCTACAGGTTTCCTTATCTCTAAAAAAAGTACGAACCAGCATTCTTTTTAAGTGGTTGCTGTAAAGTTTTATTTGAAAGAATAGAAATTCACAGTAGACTCATTGATGTAAACATCTGTTTGCAAGCAAATAGCTAGTCTGTGTTTTCATTTCAGGGAGCCCCAGGTTCTTCATACAACACATATTCTGGTAACCAGGTAAACATTCAGATAAAATGCCCTATTCAGAAACTCCATCGAAAACCTTCCCTGAAGGAGTAGCCAGATATAAACCAGTAACCCATTCTGTCTTCTGCACAGGGAGGGCCTTACTTCTATCCTGGAGGAGCCTATGGACAGGTAGTAGTTCTTCCTCCCTCACCAGGATAATACAGACTCCATCCTCCTAGTCACTTCACTCCCAGTATTGTGGGTGCTTTGATATATTAAATTACAGACCTGACTGTTATCCCTAAGAGCAGAAAAATTAAATTAACCCTGATGTAACCTGGTGGTGTGAAGCTTGACAGAGAACAGTGCAGAATGGTCTCTGCAGTTTCTTTGCAGAATTCAAGTTTCAACAGGCTAAGAAAATTACTACCAGAAGATTTCTTCCACTTTAAAAAGTTTTGAGTTTTACTTAGGCATATAAAAATTAGCTCAAAACTGGGAGAAAGGGTATAGTGAGAACCACATGTGCAGGTATTTAAACTCTCATCTTCAAGAAAATAGCTGGTCTGTGTTTTTCTTTCAGGGTGGCCAAGGTTCTTCCCACAGTTCTTACTCTGATAACCAGGTAAATATTCTGGTCACTGCACCTGCTCAGGAGCAGCCTAGAAGTATTCTTTGAGAGAACATTCAACTATGAACCAGTAAATTTCTATGTTTTCTCTGCAGGGAGGGCCTTCCTACTATTCTGGTGGATCTTATGGACAGGTAGGTGCTCTTCCTTCTTTGTAGAGACAGCAGACGTTTATCTTCATTCCTATATTTCCCATGTAGTGGCTGCTGTGAAATATAACACCCAAGAGTTGAGTCTATCATAACACCTAATAATTGTATCACCTGTCTGTACCTTACAACATGAAATCTCTCAGAGAAAGACTAAATTGTGCTTCCAGCTTCCATGGAATGATCTTTCATCTAACTAAAAAATTAGTGATAAGAAACCCCTTCTTTTTTAAGAGTATTGGCCTGGATTGAGATTTAGATACATTGGTATTTACACCATCCTGTTTGCAAGTAAATAGCTAGTCTGTGTTTTCATTTCAGGGAGCCCCAGGTTCTTCATACAACACATATTCTGGTAACCAGGTAAACATTCAGATAAAATGCCCTATTCAGAAACTCCATCGAAAACCTTCCCTGAAGGAGTAGCCAGATATAAACCAGTAACCCATTCTGTCTTCTGCACAGGGAGGGCCTTACTTCTATCCTGGAGGAGCCTATGGACAGGTAGTAGTTCTTCCTCCCTCACCAGGATAATACAGACTCCATCCTCCTAGTCACTTCACTCCCAGTATTGTGGGTGCTTTGATATATTAAATTACAGACCTGACTGTTATCCCTAAGAGCAGAAAAATTAAATTAACCCTGATGTAACCTGGTGGTGTGAAGCTTGACAGAGAACAGTGCAGAATGGTCTCTGCAGTTTCTTTGCAGAATTCAAGTTTCAGCAAGTTTGCTACCAGAAGATTTCTTCCACTTTAAAAAGTTTTGAGTTTTACTTAGGCATATAAAAATTAGCTCAAAACTGGGAGAAAGGGTATAGTGAGAACCACATGTGCAGGTATTTAAACTCTCATCTTCAAGAAAATAGCTGGTCTGTGTTTTTCTTTCAGGGTGGCCAAGGTTCTTCCCACAGTTCTTACTCTGATAACCAGGTAAATATTCTGGTCACTGCACCTGCTCAGGAGCAGCCTAGAAGTATTCTTTGAGAGAACATTCAACTATGAACCAGTAAATTTCTATGTTTTCTCTGCAGGGAGGGCCTTCCTACTATTCTGGTGGATCTTATGGACAGGTAGGTGCTCTTCCTTCTTTGTAGAGATAACAGACTTCTTATTTTCCTCCTGTTCTGCCCTTGAAAGATGGAAAACACTTTATTTGGAGAATCAAATTAATCAGCTTTTAAATTTTTTTTTTGCAGGGAGGGTCTTCTGCTTATGATGGCAGCAGTGAATCCTATGGTCAGGTAAATACTCTTCTTTGTGTAAATGTTGCTGAGGACCAATACCCTGGCTGAAGTAAACATGCAGCTATATCTGCATTTCTGCTGCCACTGTATTCTAATGAAAGTGATCTTTTATTTGAGGAATGAGTAAATTTGTACATACTTTAAGCTGAGTAGCTTGAAAGTTTACAGGCAGTAAAAGGTGGGGTGCCTCCAACTTTTAAGGGTTATTCTTCTCAACAATATCTTGAGCTCAACGATATCTTCTCAACAATGTCAAAATCTTGAGTTAACTGCAAGATAAGGTCTCTTCATAAGATGAAGGTCTCTTCAAAAGTGGAATTAGAATTTGAGTTAAAAAATATGTAACATCAGTATTTTACAGTGACATAACTCTGAGTTTCTGAACAGTTCTGATAACTAGGTAAATAATAATATTTTTTTAAATCTGCCAGAAGAAGAAGATCCCTACAGTAAGCAAAAAAAAAAAAACACCAAAAAAAAAAACAAAAGCAAAAAACCAAACCCAAAACAAAACAAAAAAAAACAAACAAACAAACAAAAAAAAAACAAAAACAAAAAACCAAAACCAAAACAAAACAAAAAAAACAAACAAACAAACAAAAAAAAAACAAAAACAAAAAAAAAAAACCAAAAAAAACCAAAAAACCCAACCTGTTTGCAATATGAACATTATTTATGTTTTCTGAACAGGGTGGATCTTCTGCATATAGTGGTTCTGAGGCTTATGGCCAGGTAAAGGTTATTTATCTCCTATATCAAAAGCTTAAGCTTGCTGTGTTGGTTCTTACGTGTACTGGGTTCTATGCTTCAGTTATTTTTAAGTGATCATGACCACAGAAATGCCATTTTAACTTTTGTTTGTCTTTACCTTTGTAACAACTCAAAATGTTTCCATAATGTAGAGAACATGAGGCACTATGTATGCCATTTTTAACTGTGACTAGCCCTGTGACTATTCAGTGCTTTAACAACTTTATTGTTCATACATTAGCTCTTTCAAAAGGAAAATCCTTCATGCATTTACTTTACATACTTATGCAGAAGCTGTTGAAAGTTTAACTTATGGCATTTTTTAATATAAAGAATGATAACTTTGCAAATTAACTTCACTGAAAAGTTTCTCCCTATAAAAATGCATGTTTGCAAAGAGGGCTTCTTTTCCCAGCCTCTTCTGCTTAAGCAACAGGTAAAGTTAAATTTTTTTTCTTTTCTTGCACATTCCCTAGTTTAGGTAATTTATTCTTCTATTTTATATTCCCCACAATTAAGAACATGTAAGAGACATTTTTACATGAAAATTAATGGTTTTCCATTATTTTACAGGATTCACCTTCCATAGGAGCCAGTGAAACTGAAGATAATGTAAGCATTTCTTCTCAAAAATATCAATATCTTCATTCACTACCTTTTAAAGTAGCTAGGTGCTTACATGGACCTTTACCTTATCTGATGTCACGTGATTTTGTTTACATGATAAGGACTTCACAAATTAAAATTGCAGTTAATAACAGTTCCAGCTTCTAACAATCAAACATTTTTTGAATTTGTTGTTAGAAGTAGCAATTACAAAGAAAGGTCTTTTTATTTCACAATTTCCATCAAAACTCAATATTTGTATATGACTACTTCCCTCTTTCCATCCCTTGCCCTACATTTTGTTTGTTTTTCCAAATGCCAGACACATGATTCAACTACATATTGCATAGGACTGGTCTGTCTTCATGCAGTGTGGTGAAAACTGCCTGCTTTTCTTAAAAAGATGCCTTTTCTCCTGACTAAAGTACACATTCTATTAACTCTGCTGAAGCCATTTATAAAACTTTACAATTTTTTAAGTCTTTTCCAGGGTCCTGGTTAGTAGGAAATTGCTCTCTGCAAATAATTACAAATTCAGCTGTGCACTTTAGTCACAAGTATACTGTGTCAATAGCTTCAATGCAGTTTCTGAACCAAATCTTCTTATAGATATTCAAGAAAGCTAAAATATGATACTACAGAAGGTCCAAGAAACCCTCTGAAAGAAACTAAGGTGTAACAACAGAAGTGTACCACATCTTGGCCTTTGAAAAATCAAGACAGCTTTGCAAATCATGAAGTTTTCCCCTGAAACATTCTGGAGGAAATAAAATAGATTGAGATATGACCTCATTCCTTTATTTCACTATATCAGGATTCAGCTTTCAACAGAAAGAAATGCTATTCTCCAGAAATGAGTAGAGAAAGAATTTGTAGACTGCTTATCCTACATCTTCAACCTTCCCACAAGCAGTACCTCCCTTTGCTTCCCATCCTTGCTTAGAAAGAAGTAGAAATATTTGCCGTGGCAATAACTAGATTCTAATCTTTCTCAGGATCCCTCCTCACCGTCTGGTAGCCGCCAGAGTGAACGGGTAAGCAACCTCTCCTTTATTTAGTGCCAGGTGCCAGCCCAGTGCTTGGCAACTGCAGCACCTAAATTACATCTCCTGTGGAAACCCTGAGGCAGCTCCAGTGTGGAACAGAAAGCCCTCAAGCACAGCAGGAATGAGGATATGGGTAAAGAGTTAAAGTACTGCTAGAAATCCCAGCTGATGCTGAGGTGTGCTCTTGAGTCTCAAACACACATCATAAATGTGATAGCACAATTTGTATATTCAGGTCCTTGCACTTTTTAAATAATTAATTTTTCTGCAAAGAGCTTCAATACCATGATTTTTCCAGCACTTATTCTAAATGCAATCCTTTGCTTGTTGTGCTGTATGACTTACTTATGAAGGCTTCCATTTTCCTATCATTTTAAATGGCACATATTGTATTTATTCTAATGACACAGACTGAGATATTATTTTGTTGGAGAATTAACTCTTTCAACTTTTGTATTCTAGAGAATATCTTCCACTAAAAGAACAATTATCAATAGTCATGAAGGGCATGTGCTGTTTTATATAGAAAGAGAGTAGATTTTTTTTGTTTTTTTCTTGAACAATCTGTGACAGAAAATTAAGGCATGTGGAGAAGCAAGGAGGAGTGTTTTTCTTCCACTCTGATTTTTCCAGTTTTTGGGGTTTGGTTTTTCTATGTAATTTCATCTTAAATACATTTTTCCAGGATTTTTATTCCCCAGGAGGCAGCCAGTCAGGTGGACATGTAAGCATCTATTTTATTTATTATTTGCAGTTCTCTTTCAAAATGGCTGTAGTATTTAAAAATTATCCCAATGAATAAATTACACCAAACCATTAATTTCCTAGAATTTCTCATGACATCTGGCATCTGTCTTGTGCAATCAAATTGCAAACTGTTTGAATAAAAAAATTAAAAATTTTGTGGGTACAATAGTCTTGTTCTCCAGAAGCCATTTCAAAAAATAAATTGGGTCTTCTTTTTGCAGGGGTCATCTTCTCAAAGTGGTAGCTACTCCAGTGGACAGGTAAATACTAAATCTTTGTAATTTTGACCTGAAGAATCAGTCATACAAAAGTTTGAGGCTTCATACTGTATTATAGCAATTTTTAATCTGTGAATGAAAAAGATTGGTTCATTCTTCCTTACATAGCTCTATACAAAATTTCAAATGCAAGCAGAGTAATCAAAATACAATTCATGTATTAACTGATGTTTTAACATCAGGAAAAATTAAAGTAATACATATTTGGCATTAATTTATATATTTTAAATATAAAGTAAGTGATTTTTATTTTTTTTCAGGACTCATCCTCATCTGGAAGTAGCCAGTATGGTGGGCAGGTGGGAAATTTTTCTTCTTCATTGTCGTTGTGAGGGTTTTCCCCCCCATCACACGTATTTCAAGAAAATGTTACCAGATGGGTAATACCTAAGTTTCCAGAATACTCTGTGGTTTATTTTATCCTCATTAATCTTTCTATAGATAAAATTGCATTCTTAACCAAATGGACCTTTCCAAACATAGTTAAAAGAGTAAAAGACAATATTTTGTATTTAAATGCATGTGTCACAGAAAAATCTTTCAATAGGAATGTAACATTTACAGGGTTCACCTTCCTCAGGAGGCAGCCAGTCTGGTGGACAGGTATGACTTTCTTTCTCCACAGTCTTCAGCTGGGCTACTGTCAGGCACTCTAATTTACTTCTCTCATCTTTCCTTCACAAGAACTGTTCTCCTTCACCACTGTCCTTTTTGCCCAAAGCCTCAGCAACACATTGTTTTCTTTTGCCATTTGTCATTTGGGCATCCAGCAAGCCAGAGTAGCCAGTAGTAATTGTTTGGCACGTGTATCTCAGCATCTGTACCTGCTTTGGTACTAAACAAAGTTGATGCATATTGAAAGTGTAAAGTGAGACACTGAATGGTGAACTCCTGGCCACCTGTCAGTTAGTTTTGTCAGAGTAGAAATCACCTGTTTTCTGTATCATCTGTAACATGAAACAGTACTGCATGTAGTCCAGGTGCTCTGGCCTGTTTAGAAAAAAAAAAAATTGCTTTCTGTGGTACTACTCAGAACATTGTATTCATCCTTTTGCTGAGTATTATTTTTAAGGTAAAAATTGTAGGTAATAAAATTTGAAGATTGAAACTGAGCATTTTGTAGCCCCATCAGAGCAATAAGTGCAGGAACAGTTGCATAGGATGAAACAGATTCAGTTCTAGAAGCTGGGCAGTTAAAATGTGGCTTTATGGTTTGCATGCCTGGGATGGTAGAAGTAATTTGAATTGTAACTAGGACCCATTTCAGTCCTGTGCTCTTGACATCTTAAATATTTTCTGCATTCTTTACAGGGTGGATGTGATTGCTCTGGGGCAAATTCTGTAAGTGCTACTTGTTCATTATACATTTTCTTTTACTAAACTAACTGGAAAATTATGTGAGACGCTATTTATTTCCAACTTATTTATTTGAATGTACTCTTAATTTTACATTCATTGTTCCTTTGATGACTTAGATGGTTCTGATATGGTGGGAGTTATTTCTTATCATGCCAAGATTCAGTGTTACAGAATCATTGAATCATTTAGGTTGGAGAATGCCTCGGGTCCAACCATTAACTCAGCACCGCCAAGGTCAGCACTTAGCCGTGTCTCTAAGTGACACATGTACATGTTTTTTCAATACCTCTGGGGCTGATGACTCAGCCCCTTCCTCAGCAACCTCTCCAGTGCTTGATAATCCTTTCAGTGAAGAAATTGTTTCCTAAAATCCAATGTGAGCCTCCCCTGGAGCAGCTTGAGACCATTTCCTCTTGTTCTATTGCTTGTAACTTGAATGAAAGGACCAACCCCCACCTGCCTACAACTTCAGAGAGTTGCAGAGAGCAATAAGGTCCCACCTGAGTCTCCTTTTGTCCAGGCTAAACAAACCCAGCACCTTCAGCTGCTCCTTACAAAGCTTGCGCTCCAGACCCTTCCCCAGCCTCTTTGCCATTTTTGGACACAATCCCACAATCCCTTAATCCCTTAAGGCCCTTCTTTTACTGAGGGGCCCAAAAGTGAACAAGGATTCAAGGTGGCAGCTTCATCAGTGCCCAGTCAGTGCAGGGGGACAATCACTTCCCTAGTGCTGCTTGCTGGCCACATTATTTCTGATAAAAGCAGGAAGCTCAAAGCTGGCAGTGAGCTGCGTTTCTGAGCAGTGATGTCAGCTGCTATACAGTATTTACAGAGATGTGTATCTCTTCTCAATAAGCCCAAAAATGATTGCATTAAATAGCAGAGTTAATTGACAAAAGAGCTATCATGGAAGAAAGCTAAAATAATAACCAGTCTATAAAATTGCCAGTCATAAAAATTTGTATCAAAAAGCAATGTTTACAAAATTTAAAACCTAAACAAAACAAAAACCGGAGCGACTTCTCACTTGTGCTTTTAATTCCATATGAAATTTCTTAAGGACGATGAAATAGGATAATCCCTGTTTTCCAAAGCAAATCATATGTGGACTATCAACATGTAGCTTGTAAAGGACATTCCTGCACCTTAGAAATATTCTTATTTCCTAGGCAATGAATTATAGGTAGACACAATATGATACTTCATGATTTATGGTCTTGTGGGTAAAAAAAGGCTATTTTCTCTATTGGCAAATTGATTAAAGTAAGTGAAGTATAAGTGTAACTAATTTCAGGCTGAGATATTCCTCCTTTGAAATGCCATGGGACAGACATTCTAAGGTTTTGTTTCACGTATAGTTTATGACCAAAGACAAAGGCTAATTTTTCTTGTCTTTTTTTCCTTTATAGGGTGGATCCCCTACTTTAGTCAGAAGTGATTCCTCTTCAAATGTAAGAAATGTTCATCTGCTTTTAAGTGTATCCTCTGTTTGCTTCATCAATATAATGGCTAGAGAGGATAAAAAGAGTCAGTTCCTAATAGAAGTCATGCACTTGTGAAAATAATCTACTTTCGTTACAATTAAAAACACACACAGGACATTCCTGCAGTGATCCCAGTTTCTCTTTCCATTTGAAATAGTTTTCATTCAAAGAGAAGCCTTACAATGAAAATTTTTTTACAGACACAGGTAGATAACAGTATAAATATTTACACTGGGAGTCAATTCCATTGGCTTCCTAGGAATTATGTAAAAATATCCCCCAAGGATATGGATTTATGTTATTTTATTCCTCTTAGATTTTTTACTGCAAGAAAGTTTAGTATTAGTGTTTATGTGCAACTATCTTTCAAGAAGTTTTGCTACAAAAAGTTGTTATTTAAGAGCAAAATAATTGGTGGTTTTGGTGTTTGCATTTTTCCCCAGGACTCATCTTCTTCTGGAGGCAGCCAGTACAACAGCCAGGTAAGCATTCATTCTAAAAAGAGAGGCAGTTTGCCACTTCTGAAAATGATTGTTAATTCATTCAATAAATTCAATTTTTATATAGGAACTGGGTGAAAAGCAAAAGTCCAGCAAGTGAAATTCATCACTGCATTAGATATGTCCTAAAAATTATAACAACGGATTTTTTAGCAAATAGTGCCCTGGCTTTGTGAAACTTGCAAAATGAAGCTCAAAAAAAGAAAAAGAAAAAAAAACCAAAAAACAAACCCAACCAAAAACAAAACCAAAAAACGTGTTTTTTGGGGAAAGAGTTAATCAAACTGCATCATTTTTTATTCCTATTTGACCTAATTCCATTACAAAGAAAAAAAAAAAATCCAATCTCCCCTCTTTAAAGAGACCTTTTGTTGTATGAGGTTTCAGCAAATTTCCTTAGTTTGGTTTTCAGAGTCCTGCTAGGTAGCCAATATTTTACTGTGAGCTCTGGTCCAGCATTCAGCTTTCCAAATAAAAAAAAAAAAAGTCATTCTCCAGAAGTGAGCAGAGAAAGAACAGGAAAGAATGTCACTTTAACCTTCCCAACATGTCACACAAGCAAAGCACTATGTCTTTGCCTGCCACCCTTGCTAAGGATCTCAGGTATTTTCCCAAATTAGCTTGCTCAACTTAAATCCTACTTATTAAAGCATTCTGAAAGTCCTGCTCACCTGTCTTCACTCTTTACCTTGGTCTCTTGCTCCTGTTGTCCTGGAAGAGTCATGCTTTTATTTAAGGAAATCCTACTGCAGGTAATTCACTCATCTGGTATTCTTTACAGGATTCATATTCCTCTGGAGCTAGCCAGTATGGAGGACATGTAAGTTCTTTCTTTTAATATTTTATATTATATTTTTAATAAATATTTGACTCATATTAAGGACCTCAATTTAATATATCAAGAAAATTGACAGTGGTCTATACTCTGTAGTAATATTGTAAATTCAAGGAAGACAAAAAACCAGAGTTTATTTTGGGATAATTACACACAAACACTCAAATAACAAAATACAGGTATCTTTGCCACTTCTTTCCATGAATTAGATATTCATAAATAACTAATTGTCAATTTTTTTCCAGGAGTCATCTTCTTATGGAGGCAGCCAGTATGGTGGACAAGTAAGCATTAATAGTCCCCATTTTTGTAGTTTATTTACTGTCCACCTGACTGACTCTATCTTAGCTTTAATTTAATCTAAAATCTTTTCAGTAAATATTTCTCTGTAGTATTCTGTTGCTACTGTAATTAAACAAAACAAGTTCAGATGAAGATCATTATCTAAGACTAAGAAAAAATAGAATGTGAAATACTTGGTTGACTCAACTGACTCTTGAAATTTGCAGGATTAGATATCATGTCTCTCTGAAATAAATTAGTACTTTATGAAGCCAACCAGAATTTTTAAAGCCTCATGAAATGATTCTATGAGCTTATGAAACAGGTGTAACAAGGTTTCAGTTTCCATTTTTTGTTTATTTTCAGGGTTCACCTTCCTCAGGAGGCAGCCAATATGGTGGACAGGTGAATATTCTTCCCTTGTAGCATTTACTACCTTATCAAAGAGATTTGGTAGTTCTCTGGGTAAAAGAACATTTTAAGGAGATTGGGGTTTGGTTTGGGGGGATCTGTCCATTTTTTATCTAATTTGTTACTAAGTATATAATGGTTATAAATTGGGATGCCAAGACACAGAAGAGCTTTTAAGATGGAACTTCTGATGCATCATGGTAAATGCAGATGAGCCTCAGCCATTTTGGCACAGTCTGCTTCAGTCCACTCGCAGTTCTGGAGTGAAGGAAACTGGGTACTCCTTCATATGGAGCATGGTTTAAAGGAGTACAATGACATGGATATAGATTATTCAATTCTTTTTTGTTCAGGGTTCACCTTCTTCAGGAGGCAGCCAGTATGGAGGACAGGTGAGAATCTCTTCTTGTTCCACACCAAAACTGGGTACTTTTATATTGACTGAAAAAATATTTCGTGAAAACTCTCTTTATCTGATAACAGATAGGTATCTAAAGATATATGATCTAAAGCAACACAAAAATTATGAAAATCTGCTGCTTCTGATGAATTAAATGCAGTTCTGGCCTTGTTCTACCTTCCAACCTGCCCTGTTGCTGTCAAGGTTTCTTAGCTCTAACAATAAGGAAGGAGATTCATTCCTCCTCTACCTCATTTCCTTCAGAAAAATGCAGTATGAGAGTTGATATCTGAAAAGCAGAATGGTTTAAAATAGGAAGAGGGGAGAAGGTGAGGAGTTACTGGCTCCTCATGCCCCTGTGAAATGAAAGATGACAGATAGAGTTCCTAGTGCTGCCTGGAGGTATAGCCTCTAATATGGAGTTACACATAAAACAATAGGCTGTTTACCTTCCTGTCATTGTGCAACAGAGGAAAAACATAGCGTTTCTTTTAAAAGCTCTTAACCTTTTGATTTGAGAAATAATTGGCACCTTTGCTACAGGGTTCATCTTTCTCAAGTGGCAGACCTTATGGAGGACAGGTGAGAATTGTTTTTCTGCTTATGGGTGTTTTCTCCATTGTTTGCCCTTTTTTTTGTGTGTGTGTGAAAATCAGAATATTTTTTAAAGTAGTGTCTTACAGAAAAAACAGTGTTTAGGCAGAATAAATGACTATCTGACTCTGTTGTGCCAGGCCACGTAAGCAAAGTACGGAACGCTACTGTGAGCGCACAGTCCAGTGCAGCAGCACTACTCACACCTGCCTGAAGCTGACTTTGATTCAAACTTCATTGTTCTGTTTAAACAGCAGCCACTGTAAAGGATTTCAGTGGATTTCAGTATGGTCATAAAGTAAATGTTCATGTCTCTGTGGCTCTTAAATCCAAGGAAGACAAAAATGTGTTTTTCTGTGACAGGTCATGAGCTAAAGAATGTGCAACAAACACAAATGCTTTTTCATTTCTTTAGGGTATAGCTTCTTCGGGAAGCAGCCAGTATAGTGGACAGGTAAAACTTCTACTTTCATGGTATTTGCAGTTTGGGTGCACAGCTCATCAGGAAAACAGATGGGTATTTTTTGCAAAAAAAAAAAAAAAGTAACATTCTGAGATAGGATAGCATCAAGCTGGGCTGAAGCAGGATTGTTAAGTATGAGTCTGTCTGGAATATCAGATCACGGTTAGAGCAAATGATACAGGGGCCTGTGACACTGCATGGAAATGTTGAAGAAACATATCACAGTTTAAGAAGAAAATTTTTTTGTGTTATGTTTAAATGGAAGCAATTTGAAATTCTGAGAACCACAGAGAACAAGTGAGAATGTTACTCAGTAACACAGAAGTAATTAAGTTACTCATTTCTTCCAGGGCTTTTCTTCAGGGGTCAGACAGTCTGGTGGACAGGTATGTTGTCTCTCTCTGCACTGTTCAGTACTGCTAGTGTCATATACTCACAAATTGCTTTGTGTAACTTTCCTTCATAAAAGCTGTTTCCAGTTACACATTTTATCCAGATTCAATATGGAAAGTGAGGCACTGAATAGTAAACACCTGGCTGCCTCTAAGTTTTATCAGAGTAGAAGTTACCTAATTGGCCTCCACAGAAAGTCATCTAAAGAGCACTGCATGTATCTATAAGACCATAGAGTATGCTGAGTTGGAAGGACCCATCAGGATCATCCAGTCCAACTCCTGGCCCTTAGCAGGGCACCCCAAAAATGACACCATGTCCCCGAGAGCATTGTCCAAATGCTTCTTGAATCCTGACAGGCTTGCTGCTGTAATCACTTCCCTGGGGAAATTCTAGTTGCTCTGGTATCCTCAAGGGATAAGCAGTATTACTATTCAGAATTTTTTACTTATCCTTTTGTGAGTAGGTTTTACCGTAAATTTTAAATGAGAAGTTAGAAGATTCTATTTTAAAATTTGATCAGTAAGTGCCCCGCTAGTTTAAAAGGGCAGGGGAGAGATAAAGAAACTGCCTCTTTATATGGAGCTTGATAAGTTGATGAGCAGTGTTTTATAGTGCATTTTCTTAGAGTAGCAGAATATGAGTTTGATTTACTAATTCAGAGGCCTATTCCAATCACAGACACAGGAAAGTAAGTCTGGTTGTGTTTTGTACAGGGTGGGTGTGTGTGCCCCGGTGGAGGTTCAGTAAGTATTTTTTGTCTTTATATATTTTTCATAGTATGTACACATGCTGGAAAATTCCCAAGGAACTACACTTCTTGAAATAATTATGTCTGTGAAGTTCTATGTATGATGAAATATTTTTCCACATTATGCTAAAATGATCAATTTTGAACCTGCTAAAGGCAAAAGTATTAAGTGACTTGCAACCATAGTATTGTATTCAAAATACAAGCTACTCAGTTTGTAAGAGAGGCCTGGGACTTTTCTAAGAATCTGTGTCACAAATATCTCATAGTGTACCTGTTGAGTTTTGGACTTTGCTCTTATGATAGTTATTAGCAGTATGATTGAACTAGTGAAACTTAGATTAAAATTTTGGCTCCAAATGCTTTCAGAATGGGGCAGAGAAACACATTTGAAAAAGTTAAAGCTATTTCCATTTTTCTGTCTAATTAGTATATTTCCTATTTCTTTGTAAGTTTCTGGGGGGAAAAAGCCAAAAACACCCAAATATACATTCAGTACAGTCAAAAATTGCTTGGATCACTACTTCTCTTTATTGGTCTGTGTAATCAAGCAAAATGACACACCCAAGTATATAACCCATGGGATATATGCCAATTTTGAGAATCAAAAGTGTTGAAAACAACATATAAATTAGAATTTATATAAACAGAAATTATATAGTAATAATAATTATTAATTAATAATAGTCACTTATATACACATTATATATATACACATATCTATTCCTTGACATATAAATCAAGATGAATCAGAATAATAGTAAGCAGTGTAAATGACTTGATCATTGCAGTAGGTCAGTGTGTTCTCTTGGATTTCCTCTGTGTGACACTGAGGTTAGTACAGAGTAAACATTGCTGTTTCTGTTCAATGCAGGGCTCTTTCGCAGGAACCAACTACCATGGTGGACAGGTAGGCAGTTTGTCTCTAACATTTACAAAGATTAGTTCCTCAGGAATAAACATGGCTCAGTTGTCATATGTGCCAGCAGCCATTAAATATTGAGCTCAGTTTAGTCACAGAGATAGGTACAATAATTCCAGAGAGTGCAGGGGGCTTTTATTCAGTCACTCTTGACATTTCAGTTATATCCTTCTATATACAAGGGCCAAGGCTTACTTTGTAGTTATAGAAGCTTTCTTACCTTGAAAAACTACTGAAGAATCATTCACAGGGTTCATCTCACTGCATAAACCAACAATGTGATGTGTGCACAATTAGTCATCTGCTACTGCATTAGTAACTGTGTAAAGTTCTTCCAGTTAATCAGTGTCATGACTATTGTTTATATTATATGAGGTCCAGGATCTTTTTTTTGTCATTTAAAAATTTGTTGCTATTAAAAAAAAAAAGTTTATTAAAAATTTGCATTCTTTTTATAGGGTTCATATCCTGGAAGTAATCAATATGGTGGACAGGCAAGCAAATTTTCTTTGTTTTCAAGATCTTACTCCTATTTGCAATATATCAGCTGAAAAAGTATCAGGCAGTACATATACTGACAGTTTTTAGGGTCATTTCACTCCTAATAAATATTAGGAAAAAATAGTACCTGAAACAGGTACTGTCAGTAGCTGGAGCCTACTCAAAATGGAGTAGCATGAATAAATTTCCATGCAAAGAAATTCCATAGATCATAATTTTAGTTGGTTTACCTCAGAATGCCTCTTATCTCAAGTGATTATTTTAATATTTACATTAAATACTTGGGAAATTAGGTACAGAATAAACCAATAGATACTGCTTTAAAAATACAAATTCGTGTGTGTTGCACACAATAACACTACTTTCCTCTTCAGGTCACCTCAAGACTCTTCCTGTTAAGCGTGTACCTTTATGCAGACTGCTTGTCACTGATTCAGAAATGTCACTAGTGCAAATAGCTGACAGATGAAATGCATGACTAACTCAAAAGATGGAGCTTATTTTCATTAGTATTACTGTGTTTGCAGTGTCTCACTCTACCATAATAAAAAAATTAATTGCTTTTTACTCCACTGACAAGCATTGGTGTTCAGTATCACTATTAAAAAGATAATCTCACATAGAATGGAGAGGATTCTTAACAGCTGCAAATAATTTTTTTTCCCCAAACTACCTATTTGGTAATATTAACAAGTGTTTTTACAATAATACATATGGTGTTCTCTAAACATGTCTGACAGAGTAGAAAATCACAAATAGAGGCAATTGGTTTTTTTCTCTTGAATAGAGCCATATATAAGACACTTTTGATCCATTTATTTATGGAACAGAACAGTCTCAGCAGGTGTTTTGTGACCACCCAATTTACTACTTTCAGCTGTTGAAGAACTTTGAGGCATTAGATCAGAAGTCTTTTTAGACTGCATCTTTTTAGATTCATATACTTTCCAGATTATGACTGAGATCTCCTGTAAAAAGTCCAGTGATGTTTCATTTTGCACAGAATAACAAAAAGTAACTGCTGTTAATTTTCTGTGATTTTTTTTAATAGGGATCTTATCCCTCAGGAGGCAGCCAATATGGTGGGCAGGTGAGTATCCTCTTTCCATCCCATCACTTCAAACTCTTTCCTAACACAGTTTCTAGATCAGGTCAGTTACTTGATGCTGACAGATACATTAATTTGGCCATTTCAATCAGTTTAAACAGTGGAGACAGTACGGATTGAAGTCATTTCAGTAAGGTGAATGAAAGATTTGGTTACAATGAGTTACTGCTCTGAATAAAATATTCCTTTGAACACACTATAGTTGCCAGGCTGTATTTCACAACACTGCTTTCTTGATTCTTGTGCTGAGTAGTACAGAGTGTAAATTTTAAGCACCCCATTTACCTTTTTTTGTTCAAAGAACACCCAAATAAGCTTGTCCTAAGTACTGCAGAAATTGTCTCAAGAGAGTGATAGAAGACTTTACATTCAATTAATACAGGTTTGATTGACTTCTTACAGGGCTCATATCCTTCTGGAGGCAGACAGCATGGTAAACCAGTAAGTACAAAATATTCAAATTTACCTTTCTCTTTTCTTATACGCCTGCTTTAAAAAATTATATCAAGTTAGTTATGGACTAGACAGTTAGAGAATTACTTTAATATGCAAAGAGTGGCACCTGATTTACTTATCTGGGATACTCTCAACAAATGCAAAGACAACATTTATTTTCACACAGTTTTGAGACAGCACTTTACTGTGTAGCTGAACTAGTAATCACAGAATGAGTCCACTGGATTTTTGTGTGTGTGTATGTAAGGAACTCCTGAACAGCAATTTCTGTTTAAATTAATAATAATAATACACTTTGTGCTCAGAGCTCAGTTTTTCATCGATTTTGTATGAATTTGTCTTAAGCATTTCTGTCTTGCTTTGAAGAAAACACTTTTCCTTTTTAAAGGAAATAGTTGCCATTTAACTATGCATATGTTCAACTTCTACCATTTCAGACTACTCTTTTTACTATGTAATTTGGACCTCACCCTTGCCATTCAATGGCAGTTGATACAAATGTTTTAGCTTATCTCTTATAGAAAAGATGTACTTGTTATTAAAAAGTGATCATAAATGTTACATTTTCTAATAAATGAATCCTAAAGTTAGAACACTTTATGTATGTATTTGATGGCATTTCTTAAAAACTTAAATGATTGTAACATTTCCTGTTGGCAATGCCATTCAAATAAGCAGAGCCATTTTACCAGAAAACTGAGTAAGATGCGTTCAGAACACCTAATTTTTCTGTACCTACTTTTATTTTCAACTACTTTTCTTATTAGAGTTTCCTTTAAGTAGGGGCTATAGAGTAAAGGCCTCTTATAATTTGCTTTTTTTTGTTGGTGCTGTCTTTTTTTTCCCCAAATGTAACCATATACTGATACCAGGAGAATTATGGTTTAATTGGACCTTATTATTTTTTCTATTCCATATATTAAACACAACTATAAACCAGTTCTTTTTTCTTGAGAATTTTGCATTAAATTGTCCAATACAACATTTGAAAGAACACACATAACAGAGAATGTTAAAGATATGTATTTCAGATAAGGTTTTGCCTGGGATTTTTAGATGACAATACAAAACAGTGTTCATTCCTCTGTGGTCTTTAATTACAGACAGCAAGGCTATTTAAGCACAAATAGACTTAGAGTCAAAAACAGCTATCTTTTTTCAGGGTTCTTCTTCCTCAGGAGGCAGTCATCAAGGAAAGCCAGTAAGGATATTCTTCTTTCAGTATTCTGCAACCAAATTAGAAATGGGGATATTGGGTTTTAAGATAGGTAACAACAATGAGGGTGAAATTTTAAATTGTGTTACAATGGTAAAGGTATGAGAAAAATTACCAATAAAAATTGGAATATTTTGCTGAAACTTAGGATGAGGCAACATTTATTCCTCCCATAGCAAAGTTTTGATATACTCTGTTACTCATAGGAACATGTTTGGGTCATTCTAATAGGAATGATGCATTTAAATATCAGGGTAGTCGTTTCAGTTTCCACCTCTGTAGTTCGGACAAGACACGTTGCTTTGACCTATTCCTCTGAAACTCTTCCTGCAATAAAAAGGACATAGCTGCGCTTATTTGAGACCATTCAATTAAAATGGGGGGGAAAGTGCAGTGAAAATGGTAAAACTAAAATCAGACCCGATATTAATCCAGGGCATTTTCAAGATTGCTGTGTGCTCTTTGGACACTGTTCACTGCAGCCTTGTATGACAAAAATTAAATGGTTCATAATTATTTCACAGGGTGGCTCTGGCTCAGGAAGCACTTACTCTGGGAAACCGGTAAGAATACTTTCATCACAGCACTTAAATCTTCTTTCCTCAGTGGACAAAGAACCTGGGTGGTAGGTAGAGAAATTTTGGGATGACTTGGTCTGAAGAGAACAATGTGTATTAATATTATTTCAGTCTTCCTCTTGAACAACTTAAAGCCATGCTGTGGGTTAAGCTATTAATATCTTGTTGATCACAGGAAAAAACTGTGTTCAAAACCATTGGCTGGGGACACCTCTATAAATGTATTTGTTTGTTTGTTTTCAGCAATCACCTTACTCAGGCGGCAGTCAAGTGGTAAGAACTTTTCCTCTATAGTTTCTACTGGTTTCTTTCTATAAATGTCAGAAAACTGAAAGCTGTCAAATTTCCTACATCTGAATAAATATTTGAGAGCACATGTGCAACATAATAAATGAAATAGTCTTAAACAAAAATGAAAAGTGGGACCACATAGGTGCTTTATACTTTTGACCCTGACTGTCACTGAAAAATATGTGTTGATATAAATGTGGCACAGGATCTTTTGACATCAGAAGTGTCTACGTAATAGATGGGGCTAATAGAAAAATTTCTATGCTTTTATAATAGCAATAAAGAGAACTATTTAGGAATGGGTTTATCAAATTTCTCTCTTCTTTTTTTTTTTTTTTTTTTTTTTTTTTGATATAGAGCTCTGCTGGGAAACACTCTACTCCCCAACTCCTGATGTTATTCAGTGTTTTGAGTGCCTTTGCTCTCTCTGCTGCTGTATCAAAATGGTCTATATGAACTTCGGAAGTGTTGACATCCTAAACACGGATTATAATCTGTATTATTAGATTACTTAATATAAGAAAAAAAAATACCATTAAGTCAAATTGGCAGATGTTACTTGGCTGTTATATTGCATGTCTAGCTGGTATGTCATGCCCCTCATTAGTTTACCTCTGGTTTTAGTCATTAGTAGTTATCATTAGTTGTGTCAGTGTTTTAGGCATCATTTTAAAAGAGCATATGGTACCCTACCTATAGGACATATTTTTATTTCCAATAGGGAATGCGATGAACACCTACCTGAAATGATTGGTGTGACAAATGAATACTTAGGGAAATATTTGGTTATGAACCAAAGTGGACAAGGTGAAATAAACTGTTGTATATGCAAACCAAGCACTGTGCCTGGTAATCATGGCATAAGGTAAGGCTAATGTAAACTTCTGATAAGCAGTCTCCACGGGACAGAAGAAAAGATGCTGAAGTACTCTCAGAGTATTGCTTTTAATCTTTTGTAATCAAATGCAAATTCAGCATGGGGATTGCAAAGAAAAAAAAAACCAAAAAAAAAAAAAACCCAAAAAAACCAAACCAAAACAAAAAAAAAAAAAAAACTCCACAGACTGAATTTTTTGGGTTATTTAAAGTTTATTCATTAGAAAAAATTAACAGATCAGAGCAAAGACATTATGAGCTCCATACTCCATTCAAACCAACTGCAAAAGTTCTGTAGAGTAGCATATGAGGCACATATACCCCAGATTAGGCTGATAAACTAAAATCCGCTGAAAAAGAAAGCCTTTTTCATTGGAAGGAATAGAAAAATAATTAAATTCATAAAACTAATACCATCTTGGCTCCTTTTTTCAAGTGTTTAGTTTAACCTGTGATACCTCATGTATCTGAAAGGTTAATTTCGTGAGTGCATCTACAAGCAGGTACATGTGCTCGCTGAAATACCAGGGCCCGTCTTTGAGCTCAGGAGCAGTTCCACACCTTGCAGCAAACTCTTCTGGAGCTCTCAGAGCCACCTTCTGTTTGGTGTTAACAAAGCGCACTCACCGAAAGCATACTTCTAATGAACGTGTTATTGAACGTGTGCCTGCTATCAAAATTATCATTACTAGTAGCGTGTTTTTCTGTCACGGTTTACAATTGTAATTGCTGAGAGAGGTTTCCATTCAAGTTCTACCAACTTCCGCGGGGCCAGGATTTCACCCGGTTTTGATGTGCAGCACTACCCTTTGCCAACCATCGGCAAATCAACCCGCAATTGAAGCACAAATGCCTATATACGATCTCCAAAATTCGGTGGACAATTTGTTTCTTCGGACAACACAGTAATGTTTTGTTTGAGAGGTCCGCACCTTAATTCGAACCAGCCCTACCCTTCTCTAATAAATTTGTGGTGGGTTTCATACAAAACGCTCGTGTCGGAGGCTCACGGTTTGGGCGGGTCACGGCCCGTGCCGCTCCCCGCGCCGCAGGGACTGCCGGCTCCGGGCGCCGCCCGTGCCCCGCGCCGCTGCCCCTCACACGGCCGGGCCCTGCCCGGGCCCCGGCTCCGCGCCCGCCCGGCCGCTCCCGGCTCTCGCTGCAGCCGCGGCCCTGGGAACGGAGCGGGCGGGGCTCGGCTGCAGCCGGAGCCTTTGCGGGACGGGACCGCGGCTCCCGGAAGCACCGGGAGCCGGAGCGAGCCGAGCTGGGCCGGCGGTGAGCGGGTCCGCCGGGCGGGCGCGCAGGTGGGAGCGGAGCCCGGCCGGGGCCGCCCCGCGCGGAGCGGTGCGGGGCTGTGCGTGAGGGGCGAGCCTGAGGGAGGCCCGGGGGGAGACGTTTGGGGGTAGTGGATGGGGCGGGAAGCAGGGCTGTGGGAGCAGGCTGGGGAGGGAAAGGGTGGGATTGAAGAGACACCGAGAGAAATGTGTGCAAATGGAGCCGCTTGGGCAAGAGGGAGGAGAGGGCGAAGTTGAAGTTGTGGTGGGGAAGCGGCTGAGTGTGAAGTTGGGAAGGGGCACGGATCTGCCCAGAGCTGTGTCAGTGCTGCTGAGGTTGTGACTCCCTTGCTGGTGCTCTGCTGAGGAGATGCTCACTATGTGTGATGTGGTGCTGCATGTGTAGTTCACAGAAATGCACATTTTACAAGTATTTGCATGGTTATCATAATTCTATACAAGTTTTTGAAATGAGAAACGCTCTAGTGGTACAGCACTTACAGATTAAGCAGAAACTCAGAGGATAGAGAGATAACAAATGTAATAATGCATATTATGGAATAAACTTAAAGATAAAAGACAAATATCAGAAGGTACCTGAAGTTGTTTCGTTTGATTAAATCCTATAAACTATGTTTTAAACCAGAGGGAGGAATACTTGGATTCCAGATAAAATATTTTAAGGTAGTGATTGAGTGAAGAAGACTGACACAGCTTTGAGCAAAAGAGGGGTGTGTTATTTAGGACGTAAAGAATGGGTGCAACAAACCTTTCTAAAGCTGAGTGAGAACCACCTGAGTGGGAAGTTTTATTTTTCATGGTGGTCTCTGCATAGGAGGATTGGGATCTAAAACAGCCTTTGCTTTTTAAAGACCATATGTGCAGAATGACAAAGTGAGTCTTGGAATTAACATTAGGTGATGGACTGCATTTCTCAAAATCTGTGGGGTTGCCTCTCTTCATGGGCACTGCACTTGACTTACCATTGTGCTCACTGAGTTGAGCTACAGGCTGCAGGGTGAGTTTGAGTGAGGTGACAGTTTCGGAAAAAGTGATTTACAATAATCCCTGCCTTTGGAAACTGTAGTTCATTATTCTCTTGTACATTGTTTGGCATTGTGAGAAGAACTTGTGGTTGAAAATCACAGTTCTGGACGATAAGTATCCATTGGTTTGGGATGCATGATGTTCTGGTTGGTAGAAGTAGTATGTGTAGCAAAAATACCAGTTTGGGGAAAGACTGGTTCTAGTAAGTATGAATTTGCTTTCTTTAGAGCAATGTATTGTTAGGAGTAACTCTGCCTCCAACAATCCTACAGGCTGCCTACACAGCCTCATTCCTTATTCGGGTGATGCTGTTGTTCACAACAACGAGAAAAAGGCGGGGATCATCTGTGCCAAGTACCTGTGGAATTCAAGTCACATGTCCCCTTAAACCAGTTCTGGATTTGGCAGTGTTAAGGGAGCACAACACATACTTATCTTTGGGACAGGCTAGCTAGACAGTTATTCCTCCCATACTGTTCTTGAATTGCTTGCTGCCTGGGCTTACTCTTCACTGGTTACTTCAGTTCTCACCGTATTCAAGAAGCTGCATGTGCGGGCTGCATGCTTGCTCTGAAACTCAGGAGGCTGGACAGCTGGATCACATCAAAGGAGGATGTCTCTAGAGGGGAGGAGAGATTCTTAACATTGTACTTCTCAGGATCTGGCATGATAGAGTCAGATGGTTCTGGGTTAGGAGTTCAGGATTTTGCCACTGGATTTCTGAACTTTGTCTTACATTTGTATCTCTTCAGTGCAGTTCAGTTGTCTCATTTTATTTGTAATTACTAGCATGCTGCAGTGCTTACAGATTGGTTTTCCCTGGAGGATCTAGTTTGTGTTATTCTACTCCAAGTAGGTCACCTTGACTGAGGTGTTTGACACACTGTGTTGCCTTGAGCACCCAGATTTGATTTGTAATTCATAAATAGCATAAGTGTAAGCTGCAGCTGAACCCCAGCTAGATTCAATGTTCAGTCTTTCAGCACCTTAAATCAAGCTCCTTCATTGGCTTATACATCTGCAGGAACTGCATTCCAGCCGTCCTTTGGTTCATGGCGCTGCACTCCTGTGTGCTTCAGGAGGGGTGGGCATTTGAACTGAAACTGAGAACTGAATGGCTCCTTGCTTGCAGAGGCTGAGTGTGGCTGCTGGGATCTATCTGTACCATGATCTATATAATGAGCACAGTGTATGTACTGTGTGAAAACGAGATGCAGTTCAGGCAGCTTGTATCAAATTTCTGTGCTGGCAGGCAGAGTTTGGCTTAATGACTGTTAAGTCAATATAAAACTATTGCACTACTGGGCAGAGTTGAAGTCTTCATCTTACAAAAAATGCTGGTGTTAACATTTAGCTCAATGAGGGCCTGAATTTCCAGAACGCAGAATATTTATACTCAATATGTGATTTGTATAATATTCATCAAACCAAATTTTCATCAGTCAAAAAAATACAATTGCTGGATTCTTAGGTTTGGTGTAAAGGAGAAGGGTAGTGGGCTTAAAGAGCACTTAGCCACAGATCCCACATTTTAAGATTCACAATGCTTTACTCTTCCTGCCTGATGCATAGATTAGAATGCTATTTTTTTCCCCACAAAAGAAAGAAACAAACGCAAAACCTTTGGGAGCTCATAAAACAACTCACCCACGTTCCCTTTCTGCTCAGTTCTCTGTCATGTAAGAAAACCTTGCCTGAGTCCCAAGGAATTTATAGCATTCTCTGAAATGAGACTTTAGTTAATAGTTAATATGGAATTGCATTCCCTTTGTTAAACTTGGC